ATGCTAATTTATGTTATGTCATGGTGCACTGTGTTATGCTAAGCCATGCTATGCTATGCTGTACTAAGCTGCGCTATGCGATGCTATGTTATGCTGTGCTACGCTATGCTATACTATGCTATGCTTTGCTGCGCTATGCTATGCTATGCTATGCTTGGCTGGGTTATGCTATGCTATGCTAATGCAGCGCTGCGCTATGCTGTGCTGTGCTGCGCTATGCTATGCGATGCTATGCTATGCTATGCTATGCTGCGCTATGCTATGCTATGCTGGGTTATGCTATGATATGCTGTGCTGCGCTATGCTATGCTGCGCTATGCTATGCTATGCTGTGCTCTGCTATGCTAAAGCTCAGCGAAGCTAAGATAAGATGAAATAAGCTAAGCTAAGATGAGAAAAACAACGCGAAGCCAAGGGGACGTCACTGGGGGAACCGCGGGGCGGATGCCGGGGGAACCGCCTGGGGCGAGCCCCACTGCCCGGCCCTTTAAGGTTAGCTATGCTATGCTAAGATGCGCTATGCTATGCTATGCTATGCTATGATATGCTAAGTTATGCTATGTCATGGTGCACTGTGTTATGCTAAGCCATGCTATGCTATGCTGTACTAAGCTGCGCTATGCGATGTTATGTTATGCTGTGCTACGCTATGCTATACTATGCTATGCTTTGCTGCGCTATGCTATGCTATGCTATGCTTGGCTGGGTTATGCTATGCTATGTCATGCTAATGCAGCGCTGAGCTATGCTGTGCTGTGCTGCGCTATGCTATGCGATGCTATGCTATGCTATGCTATGCTGCGCTATGCTATGCTATGCTGGGTTATGCTATGATATGCTGTGCTGCACTATGCTATGCTGCGCTATGCTATGCTATGCTGTGCTCTGCTATGCTAAAGCTCAGCGAAGCTAAGATAAGATGAAATAAGCTAAGCTAAGATGAGAAAAACAACGCGAAGCCAAGGGGACGTCACTGGGGGAACCGCGGGGCGGATGCCGGGGGAACCGCCCGGGGCGAGCCCCACTGCCCGGCCCTTTAAGCTTAGCTATGCTATGCTAAGATGCGCTATGCTATGCTATGCTGCGCTATGCTATGCTATGCTTGGCTATGTTATGCTATGCTATGTTATGCGAATGCAGCGCTGCGCTATGCAACATTAAACTAAGCTAAGCCAAGCTAAGCTAACCCTCTAAGCAGAGCCTAGGTAGGGAATTACACCCATGCTACGATATGCGATACTGCGCTATGCTATGCTATGTTATGCTATGCTATGCTGTGCTCTGCTATGCTAAAGCTCAGCGAAGCTAAGATGAAGGTAAGCTAAGCTAAGATAAAACTGAGGTAAGATGAAGCTAAGCTAAGGTAAGATGAAATAAGCTAAGCTAAGATGAGATAAGCAACGCGAAGCTAAGGGAACGTCACTGGGGGTACCGCGGGGCGGATACTGGGGGAACCGCCCGGGGCGGGTTCCACTGCCCGGCCCTTTAAGCTACGAAGTAAGAACCCTTCTAGGCAGAGCCTGGGTAGGGAAAAATTATCTCAGTGCGACCCTACCTAGGAATTGGAGCCCCTAGGAAAGCAGCATTAGTAGTAACAGTAAAGCTAAGCTAAAGCTAAGCTAAAGCTAAGCTAAAGCTAAGCTAAAGCTAAGCGAAAGCTAAGCTGAAGCTAAGCTGAAGCTAAGCTGAAGCTAAGCTGAAGCTAAGCTAAAGCTAAGCTAAGGCAAAGCTAACACTCAGCTAAAGCTGAGCTAAAGCTAAGCTGAAGCTAAGCTAAAGCTAAGCTAAAGCTAAGCTAAAGCTAAGCTAAAGCTAAAGCTAAGCTAAAGCTAAAGCTAAAGCTAAGCTAAAGCTAAGCTAAAGCTAGGCTAAAGCTAAGCTGAAGCTAAGCGAAAGCTAAGCTAAAGCTAAGCTAAGGCTAAGCTAAAGCTAAGCTGAAGCTAAGCTAAAGCTAAGCTGAAGCTAAACATAAGATAAAGCTGAGCTAAAGCTAAGCTAAAGCTAAGCTAAAGCTAATATACATCTAAAGCTAAAACTAAGCTAAAGCTAAGCTAACACTAAACTAAAACTAAGCTAACACTAAGCCGAAGCTAAGCTAAGGCTAAGCTAACGCTAAGCTAACACTAAGCTAAAGCTAAGCTAGCACTGAGCTGCAGCTAAGCTAAAGCTAAGCTAAAGCTAAGCTAAAGCTAAGCTAAAGCTAAGCTAACACTAAGCTGAAGTTAAGCTAAAGCTAAGCTAACGCTAAGCTAAAGCTATGCTAAAGCTAAATTGAAGCTAAGATAACACTCAGCTAAAGCTAAGCTAAAGCTAAGCTAAAGCTAAGCTAAAGCTAAGCTAAAGCTAAAGCTAAGCTGAAGTTAAGCTAAAGCTAAGCTAACGCTAAGCTAAAGCTAAGCTAAAGCTAAAGCTAAGCTGAAGCTAAGCTAAAGCTAAGCTGAAGCTAAGCTAAAGCACAGCTAAAGCTAAGATAATACTAAGCTAAAGCTAAGCTGAAGCTAAGCTAACGCTAAGCTGAAGCTAAGCTAAAGCTAAGCTAAAGCTACGCTAAAGCTAAGCTAAAGCTAAGCTAAAGCTAAGCTCAAGCTAAGCTAAACCTAAGCTAAAGCTAAGCTAAAGCTAAGCTAAAGCTAAGCTAAAGCTAAGCTAAAGCTAAGCTAAGGCTAAGCTAACGCTAAGCTAACACCAAGCTAAAGCTAAGCTAACACTAAGCTGAAGCTGAGCTAAGGCTAAGCTAAAGCTAAGCTGAAGCTAAGCTAAAGCTAAGCTAAAGCTAAGCTAAGGCTAAGCTAAAGCTAAGCTAAAGCTAAGCTAAAACTAAGCTAAAGCTCAGCTAAAGCTAAGCTAAAGCTAAAGGTAAAGCTAAAGCTAAGCTAAAGCTAAAGCTAAGGCTAAAGCACCAAAGGGACTGGGGGAACCGCGGGGCGGGGACTGGGGGAATCGCCCGGGGCGATTTCCATTGCCCGGCCCTTTTAGCTAACAGAGTAAGAACCCTTCTAGGCAGAGACTAGGTAGGGAAAAAGCTCGAAGGAAAAGCCTAAGGTCCAATCCAGATTCCTGATCTTCTTCGACGGGGTCTGGAGTCCACAAAAATTGGTGTTTAGATTTCTGAAGGGTGCACATGTATCTGAACATCGGCTACACCATCCCATCTCCACGGGGTTGGCCTTAGCCTTAGGTCGGGCATGTCCCCCTGCAGGCGGATATTAAACGAACAAATGAAACAGTTGTCACAAAAAAACAAAAATACAAAAAACAAGTCCCCTGACTATTTTTGGACTATTTTGAAATACTCCTCCTGTAGAGGGACACGTCCGACTTAATCATAGCCCCGCTGGCCGATTTACCCCCCTAGGTGGGGTTACGCGCTACTTCCTACGCAGGCGGCGGCCGGCACTGGCCCCTATCCCTCTCCTCCCAGGTCTCGCTGGCACTGTGCCTGACTGGTGCAATCTCGCTAGAGTGGGCTGCCTGGCTGGTGCTGTGCCTTCTACTTATTGCTGTGCTGCACTGTCAAACTTGGTGTCCAACAGATTTTCCAAGTCCAATCATGTCATGTGAAATGAATGCCAGCCTCTGCCGACAGGCTCCCAGCTTAATCAACGTCGAAATCCACAAAACGAATATCTGACGACAATTTTTGTTTGAATCGCCCACCTTCCTTGATTTCGGCCTCTGGGGCCCGTTATCGGGCCCTGGGACAATCAAACATTGATCTGGAGTGAACGACAGGCCTGGGGCGCCGATTGAGAAAAACAGATCTTCGGATGTCTGGGCTCCTGTTCCTCTTCCTCCACCACCAGTCGTTTGTGCTTACTATGTCCCCTCCGCTCCACGGAGGAACGCAGATCGCTACTATTCTCCGCTACTCAGAGGAACGCAAGTCGCAGGTTGCTATTAAGAAAAGGATGAGAAGTTCAACGGAAGGGATCCAAACCCGCAAATGTGCAGGGGCCCGCCTGTTGCTCGCGATGCCTCAGTTGGCACATCCCGATGCACTGACAGAATGTGCTGACGAGGTCTCATTTGAAAAACCTCCACGCAGTGTCCTAAGTGCGGAAGCAGAAAAGAAAGGAGCGTTTTACGATGCCGGTCACGGCGCAACTCTGATTATAATATGTGAACGAACAATGACTTAAGGTTCCAGGTCCAAGGCGTCTGGAGCATGTAAATATAATGCACCGGCAGAATGCAATGACAGACCTGGCTACTAGATCTGCGCAGAGCTAAGTAGGCGGTGATTTGATGCGAAAAAGATGTAATCACTCAGATGAGCTGAACCTCAATCCAATATTAATAGATTACACATCGAGCGCGCCACTCACCATAATGCCCTGGCGCACGCTGGACCTTCGGGATGGTCCAGCTCCTGCGAAACTCTGGGGAATGGCTGCGGGGCGGCTGGTACAACTGCCAGCAGCAAGATGGCGGACACCCGCCAACCGCGGCATACGAGAGCGGCACATGCCACGGAACAGCGCGAGGCAGGTGCACAAAACCCAACCACACTGCCCGCGCAACGCCCGTGACAACTATGGACCATATGATGAGGCTCTGGGCTGTTCTTGGGCGGGGCCCCTTTTACTCGCAACAGTCCGCGCTGGGACTCTTTGTTTTCAAGTGCACGCTGCATCCCCCATTTGATTCGCGCGTTCTCGCCTTACTATCCCTTACTGCGTGCCCCCGTTCTGCCTGCCTGCCCTTCGCCTTCCTGCACGGACGCCGCTGCCGCGTCGCACAGCCTTCTGTCTTGACTGGTCGCGCTCGGGCTACACTGCCCGCGCAACGTCCGTGACAACTTCGGTCTCCCCCTTCGCAGATGTTCGAAACCTCCGCCCTCCTGCCTTTCCCCCCCCCCCGCCGGAGGCCGCGTGCTGGCCGCGACGCGGCGGGCGCCCTAAATGCACGCACGAGGTGGCCTTGTGCTGGGCCCCGAGCTGCCGTCTGCCCGCTCCGGAAGCCACGTGCTAGCCGAGACGCGGCTGGCGCCTCGAATTCTCTCACGAGGCGGCTTGTGCTGGGCCCTGGGCTGCTGTCTGCTCTCGCTCTTTTGCCTTGAGGATGCTGAGCATGTACCTCGTTGGGCGCGGATCAATGCGAGGGGCGATGCATGGGGGGGGCAGCGAGGGCTGCAGAAAAACGGCCCCACAGGGCCCCCAAAGGGGCCCTTTAGGACCCAAGACGGGCCCTTTAGCCTTTAGGGCCCGAAAAGGGCACCTCTCTCCCCCCCTCCTGCATCGCCCCTCCATTAGCTCCCGCCCAGCCTCTCGTCCCTCCTGCGCGCGGCAAGGCCAACCGCCGCATTGCTCCCGCCACCGTCGGCCAGTCCCCACGCGGCATTCAGATCGGCCTCGCGCGTGCCGTCCAGCGCCACGAGCAGCTGCTTGCAACGCAGCCTCGCGGCCTTGCTGGGCCGCGACCTCGACGTGACCTCTAGAGGAACAACACACGCACACACACACGCACACGCACACACGCACATACACACACACACACCGAACGTAAACCTCCGGAGTTGCGGGCTGATTTCTTGGATCGGACCCTCTGATGCGAGGAGCGCGCCAGGGGCGGCGTCGGAGAAACCGGCAGGGGGCCCCTTTGCTTGTATGGTTGCAACAAGGCTGATTTGAGGGACTTCCTCGATATTGGCACGCATCATATTTGTCTCCGTCAATTAATTCATCATTTCATCATTTCATTATTCATGACTTTCTTTACAACCATATCATATTTCTCCTGACCCTTTTGCATTCCTCTTATCAGCCCAATTCTTTCTATGTATGTATGTTCCCACGTCATATCCCCCCCTCCTCCTGCTCCTCCTGCTTTTCCTGGTCCTCCCCGGCATCGTTTTCATTGCCTCCTTCAGTCTCCTCACTTTATAATCCTCCTCATGCGTCTTGAAATGTCGTTGTCGCACAGCGCCGAGGTGTCGGCTCAAATCTAGATTCTCGCTTGAGGTCGTTCCCTTCAAAATGGAAAATCACCGAAAAAGCACGACGGCGTACTTGGCGGAGCTGGAGAAGAACGCAGAGTGCAAGACAAAACGGCGCCTTGGAAAGTTCATCATTCAGCCCAGGACGCGCCTCCTGATGGCGGCGGGCGCCTGGATACCAACAGCGTAAATCTCAGTTCCGTTGCTGCGCACGTATGTTGCTTCGCTTGCCTATTCTGTGTTTGAGCGGCGGTCTCATGGAAAACGGGCGTCTGCAGTTATTGCGATTATCGAATGGCTTTCGGCCGATTCCGCCGCCGCGCCTGGGTTTCGGGTATCCCCATCAAACATTGGTTTCAATTGTGAGAGGGGAGCGGTACACATTGTTCCCCTTGTGGGCGATGCCAACATCGTTCTGATTGTAGAACATGCCAGGGGCTCCTAAAAGCACAGCGAGTTCTATATGTTGCATTGTGGTCTTCTTTTCTTGGTAAGCTTCCACGGCACCACGGCGACGCCACTGAGATCCCCAACAAGTCAAAACACATTGAAACGTCCCGAAATCAAATTCAATTAGCGCATCCCCAACAATGACATACATCAATGTGAACTCCATGCCAAAACTGGTTTCAAAGGATGTCCAAAAGGCAGCGCCGTCGGAGCGGCCGAACCTGACCAGGAAAACAACATATACATAACAAGAAACATTCAACAACGCTGTGTTTCCACATAAGGGATTAACACAAACAATGAACACATAGGACTGCCGCTAGTGCTACTTGAAAGCCAACCAAAAAACAACGGTCAACACAACTTGTCCCAATCGCTTCTTAACCCAATGGTGAAGCACCCGTGTTCCCTGTTGTTCTTGCTGTCCTGTCAAATTTCCGCACCCTCTACGGTGCTGCTTCTGGAAAATCACAACATCAATGTTTACATACACATTGATTTCGTTCGTGGGGATCTGGAGGACTGCATTTGGGTGTGGGACTGTTCATGTTTGTTTGAACTGTGGGGGGTCGCAATGGCGGCACCGTAGGGCCGTGGAAGCTTACCTGGAAACCGAAACACATAAGAAGCACATGAACAACGCTGCGTTTCCACCTGGAATAAAATCAAGGCAACTTGTGGCTGCCGCATTTTCCATTCGTAAGACACATTGAAACAGCGACAGTCACACGTGCTCCCAGCTGTTTTGACTGTCTTCCCATGTGAAACCCCACGGCTTATCATTATTCTTCTGTTGTTTGTTCCATGTGTTTCCGGTAAGCTTCCGCGCCCCCCACGGCGCTGCCCCTGGAACCCCATCTAAGAGCAACCTGTGAATGCAATACAGTTTGGCGGCACATGTGAGGATATACACATTCAATTTGATTGTGTGGTGCTAGGAACTGCTTTTAATTGTGGGGGACCTCATTTGCGGCGCCGTGGAAGCTTACCAAGGCAATCACAATAAACAACAACAGCAAACACAACAACACCAACAGCAACAACAACAATCATGTTTAGACTGTTCGCTCTCATCTGCGCACGTGCTATCAAACATGTATAACCCAGCCCTCGATACCCGCCCCCTTCGTCTTCGATCGTACACCCTTGGGGGTCTATCTTTCTTACCTGCAGCGTGTATTTCGCGCAGCCCCCAAGGCAGGGGAAGAAAGGACGGCTGGAAGGAAGGGACAAGGGGAAGGTAGTAGGATGGAGGGGGGCGAGGAGCAGAGCGAACAGGAGTGGGGGGCGAGCGAGCGGGGGCCACGAAGGGCATACGTATATGGGGCCACAAAGGGCGACAGCGGGGCCACGACGGGCAGCAATGGGGCCACGAAGAGCGCGAGCGAGTGGAGGCCACGAAGGGTATACGCATACGGGGTCACAGAGGGAAACAGCGGGGCCACGAGGGGCAGTAATGGGGCCACGAAGGGCATACGTATATGGGGTCACAGTAGGCGACAACGCGACAACAAAGGGCATGCATATGGGACCACGAAGGACGCGAGCGGGCGGGGGCCACGAAAGGCATATAATGCGGGGCCACTGAGGGCAGCAACGGGGCCACTGAGGGCATCAACGGGGCCACTGAGGGCAGCAACGGGGCCACAAAGGGCGATAGCGGGGCCGCAAAGGGCAGCAACGGGGCCACGAAGAGCGCGAGCGAGCGGGGGCCACGAAGGGCATACGTATACGGAGCCACAAATGGCGACAGCGGGGCCACGAAAGGTAGCAATCGGGCCATGAAGGACGGCATACGTATATGGGGCCACAAAAAGCGACAGCGGGGTCACGAAGGGCATGCATATGGGGCCACGAAGGGCTCGAGCGAGCGGGGGCCACGACGGGCATAAGTAAATGGGGCTACAAAGGGCGACAGCGGGGCCACGAAGGGCAGCAATGGGGCCACGGCGGGCATACGTATATGAGGCCACAAAAAGCGACAGCGGGGCAACACAGGGCATGCATATGGGGCCACGTAGGGCGCGAGCGAGCGGGGGCCACGAAAGGCATATAACACGGGGCCACTGAGGATAGCAACGGGGCCGTAAAGGGCGACAGCGGGGCCACGAAGGGCCACGAAGAGCGCGAGCGAGTGGAGGCCACGAAGGGTATACGCATATGGGGTCACAGAGGGAAACAGCGGGGCCACGAGGGGCAGTAATGGGGCCACGAAGGGCATACGTATATGGGGTCACAGTAGGCGACAACGCGGCAACAAAGGGCATGCATATGGGGCCACGAAATGCGCGAGCGGGCGGGGGCCACGAAAGGCATATAACGCGGGGCCACTGAAGGGCAGCTACGGGGCCACTGAGGGCAGCAACGGGGCCACTGAGGGCAGCGATGGGGGCCACGAAGGGCGACAGCGGGGCTACGAAAAACATGCGTTTGGGGCAACGACGGGCGCGTGCGATCGGAGACCACGAAGAGCATATAGTGCCGGGCCGACTGTGCCACTGAGGGCAACAACGGGGCCACGAAGGGCGCGAGCGAAGGCGACCGCGGAACCACTAAGGGCAGCGAGGGGCATCGAAAGCGGGCGGAGGGCAGCAGGAGGCGACTGCAGTCCCTAACGAGCAGTTTGGGCGGGCTGGCCCCGACGGGCGGGTCAAGCGGGCGGGCCGCTGAAGCGTGAATCCTGCTTGAATCGCAAGGGATCTTTAGCAAGAACGCGACTCCCCAAACAATCAGGAGGACGTCCAAACCGAAAGCGCGATTCATGAGCGTCGATGGGGCGGCATCTTAATAAATTGTGGTGGTACCTCAAGCGAGAGCGCGATGCCTGAGTAGATCGCAAGACCATCTCAAGCGAAATCTTAGTTTCTCAATAAAAGGTGGCAAAGTAACAGGCGTGAGCCGTCGTTGTAATTCGAGGGTCCAACGCCCGTGTCGAGGAGCGGCATCTGAATAAATTGAAGGATCCAGCGGGAACGCGATCCCTGACTATATTGCAAGGCGGTCTCTGGCGAAAGCTTCATTTCTGTATAATTTGTGAAGAACTATCAGGCGGCAGCCGCTGTTGTTTCAATTCGATGGGCCAAGGGCTAAGTTTGACCCCCAAGACTGTCCCGAATAAAGAAATGGAGTGGTAGTCCTGGAAAGGACACTTCCGGGAAAACAACCATGGTTACCAGAAGGTGGGATCAACTATAATTATTATCCGTACGTGAAAGCTCCTCAACAACAACAACAACATCAACAACAACAACAACAACACCAGCAGCAGTAGCCGCAGCAACACCCACACCAACAACAACAACACCAACACCAATAACACCAACACCACCAACAACAACATCTACTCTAACTACGACAACAACACCAACAACACCATCAATACGAACAGCAAAGCCAACAACAAAAATAACAACGTGAAACACGCTGTGCTCACACATGGGTGGATCAAACAACTCGCGAATCCAGATGTACGGATTGGTAAAACAAACAAGCTCGGCAACGATCGCGTGTGCTCCTTGGCTGTTCATATTGCCACAAGTGAACACCTGTTTTTCCGTGCGTCACATGTTCGCCATATCCGAGACGCCCCTCCCCCAAAACAAAAGCATGAACAACGGGGCGCTTGTTTTCTCTGCACACTCCCCGCGTTGTTTCCGCACCTCATTTCGCACCCTGCCTCGTCCCCAGCATGTTACCGCACCCGCCATCACCGTCATCGTCAGCATCGCACCCCCGTCATCACTACCATCATCCCACGATGACCACCTCTGGTGTCCATCATCGCCCCATCAGGTTTTCACGCTCGCCATCACCATGCCAGCATCACTGCTCGTCATTATCATCGTCACCCTCAAATCGTCGTCATCATCCTCACCGTTATCATCACCACGATCAACATTGCACACAAAACGACGTTCATCTGAGGAAATCTCAAGCGGGATTTCCGTCTGTAACTAAACCCCGAGGAAGTCTCAAGCGGGATCCCCCGCCCTGTGGGGCCCGCGGATCATGTTACTAATCTGAACTGGTCATCGGAAATCTCAAACTGTTCTCTCAAGATTGGGCTGCTCAGTTATGAATTCGGCGGGAGTCTCGAGCGGGAACCTCGTCTGTGAACGACTCGCGGGGGAGTCTTGGGCGGGACCCCTCCTTACGGGGCCCGCAAATCATGCTACGATCCCATGCAGGTGATCGGGAACTTCTAACCAACCTCAATGTTTGGGCTCCTCATTCCTAAATATGGCAGAACTCTCAAGCGGGAACCCAATCTGTGATTGAGTGGAGAAGACGTCTCAGGCGGGAGCCCCCTCCGTATGGGGTCCGTAGATCGCGTTATTGATCCGAGCGGGACATCCGAAACTTGCCACCTGCCTCACTTTTGCGTTCCTCATTCCTGCACGCGGCAGGGATCTCCAGCGGGAGCGTCTGTGATTGAATGGCGACGAAATCTCAGGCGGGAGCCCCTTCCCTATGGGGCCCGCAGCTCACGTTGCAACTCCGAACGGGCGTCGTCTGTGAATGAATGGCGAGGAAATCTCGGGCGGGGGGGCCCTCCTGGTGGGGCCCGCAGCTCATGTTATCATACCAGCCCCCAACGGGTCGTCGGGGCGCTGTGGCCGTCCTCGTTTTCTGGCGTCTTGAAGCCTGAAGATGGCGGCAGTGTCGGGCGGGAGCCTCGTGCGTGAGTGAATGTCGAACAAATGCATGCGGAACGCGCTGGTTCTGCGGCCGCCTACGCGGAGAGTTCCTGGAACGCGGGTCGTCGGTTTCCCTGCGGAAGGCGCTCACGGAGTTCGACACAAGAGCTGGGAGGTCCGAGGCCGAGGCGGAACATCTCGCGTCAAAGCTGGGCTTCGCGCTGCCTCCAGCCCGATCGCGGCCGCGACTGGCTCGACACCTGCGGGATTGCCTCAACAGCTTGCTCCCGCGATCCAGTGGTTCGTGGGGTTGTTCCAGCGGCCTGGCCCACGGGATTGTCCAAGCGGCTTCGCGATCTCGCCATCGGAGAACGCCCCCGTGCCGGCCGTGGCGGCAACGGCGCCGAGGAGCATCGACGTGCGTGCCCTGCCAAAAGGGCGGGGCAAGAGGATGTGGATGGGGGACAAAAGCAAGAAGACGAAGAGGAGGCAAAGCAGGAGCCGGGACGAGGGAATTCGCCACGGCGAAAAGGAGAAGGGCGATGAGGAAACGGGGAAGAACCTCTGCACTCACAGGGACGACAATGATGTTTATTTCCGCATTTGTTTTGGTGATTCTCATGTGGGGTCCTACCGTCGGAATAATTGTGTTCTGTGGACACCCCCCAGCGCAGGAAAGATCACCTCACCACCTCCCCTCCTCTGTTCTTCGCGCACGCATTCACACACTCATCATCATCATCATCATCATCATCATCATCATCATCATCATCATCATCATCATCATCATCATCATCATCATCAGCTCATCATCATCAGCTCATCATCATCACCATCACCATCACCATCACCATCACCATCACCATCATCATCATCATCATCATCATCATCATCATCATCATCATCATCATCATCATCACCGTCATCATCATCAGCATCATCAGCATAAGCATCAGTATCATCACTCACTCATTCACCCACTCACTCGCTCATCACCATTATCATCACCACCATCATCACCAGGGCCCCCAAGGCTTGAATCTTGAGAGAGTCTCAAGCGGGGCCTTGTCTGTGAGTGGCTTGCGAGGAATCTCCGGCGGGAGCCCCCTCCCTATGAGACCCGCAGAGCATGTTACCAATCACAAGGAGTCATTCGAAACCCGCACTTGTCGTCACGGTTGGGCCCCAGATCCTTGCATCTTCAGGAAGTCTCAAGCGGGGGCCTTGTCTGTGAGTGAATTGCAAGGAAGTCTCCGGCAGGAGCCGCCTACCCACGGGGCCCGCACCTCCTGTAGTCAATCGCAGGGGGTCGCTTGAGACCTGTAACTGCCGTCGCTTGAAGCTCCTGAGGATTGAATCTGGAGGGAATCTTGAGCGGAAGCCTCGTCCGTGAGTGACTTGTGAGGAAGTCTCGAGCAGGAGCCCCTTCCCTATGGGACCCGCGCCTTCTGATTTATCCCAGGGATGGGACGGAAAGGAGGTGATGATTACTCTCTGACCAACCAAGAAGATGCTCATGGTGGGTTTTACCGTAGGAGTAATTGATGCTCTCCTGATGAGCTTCAGCGCCACCGATGGCGCTGTCGCTGGAAACCCCTTTAGCATCAGCTTGTCGATGACATGCACATTGATTTCATCGGTGGGGATGTACACTTTGAGCTTGATTGTGGGACTTTTCGAACTGTTTGAATTGTTGGGGGTTGGGGATCTCAGTGGCGGCGCCGTGTGAGCGTGGGAACTTACAAGGGAAACGAAACTTTTATGCACAACGCTGTGCTTCACACGGAGACGTGTGGCTGTCACCCTGGTGGTCGTGGTCGGTAAGACAAAGAAGAGCAACGACAATCACACGTTTTCCCAGCTTTTCCATATGTCAGAGCCAACCGTTTTTACTGTGTTTCCTGATTTTGTCCTGGTTAGCTCCCACCCCTCCCACGAAAGCTCCTTGGAGTCAATTGGTCAGAAAAAACCATGTGGTCTCATTGGTTGTGACTCTAAACAATGAAATTAATTTGAATTGTACATCTGCCTCTACAGGTGTTAGGTTAACACACACACACAAGAACACTTGGCTGCAATCGCACAAACGAAGGGTCCTACTCGGAAGCTCCATCGCCGATCCGAGACATCTGCGCGGACCTCCGAACATATGTATGTTTGCTGTGATTCCTCTTCGAACCTTGTGCGGCAAGTGGCAAAAGTTGCAGTTGACACCGTTTCTGCAACGCGCGGTCAGCTTGATATACTTGCAAGGCCTACAGGTGCCGGCGGCGTGCTTCTCCGCGATCCACCCCTCCCGCCGATCCACGAGCTCCTGCGCCTCCCCACGCAGTAGGCTGTGGCACGCGGGCGGCACCAAGCCGGAGCTTCCGCAGCTTTTGTCCTGGCCTCCGCCGCTGATCGGGGAGACCGAAGGCTCGAGTTTAGGGGACTCGAGTTGGCCTGTGACGGGGCTGCCATAGACATGACGAAATCCAGCCTGAAATTTGACGCGAACCCCCGCTGCAAACATCCCGCGAAAACTGGACCGCCAAAATCCTGGACGGGCCCGTCAAAAGAGCGTCGGCAAACCCGAGTTCCGTCGAACTCGAGTCTTACGTCTCCCCGAACTGGATCCGGAGGATCCACTGACCTTATCCTGGCTGTAGTTGCCAATCTCCGCCCAGGGGCAGCGGCTTCCCGAGGCGACTGAGGCCGATGCTGAGAGCGCGCGATGGCTAGTGGCGTCCTCCGCTGCGCTCACGTGAAGACAGCTGTCCGCGCGCGTAGGCCTCTCCGTGGCGCTTCTGGGTGCAACGCGAGCCGCATCCACCTGAGCAGTGCCTCCACCAAGCGCGCACACAAGATGACCGTCGCTCTTGCTCCGGCTTAGTCCTGCAGCAGGGTCCACCACCTCCAAGAAACCGTTCTTAACGACAAGCCTGGTTCCGTCGGCCTGCCAGGGGCCCTGCTCCTGAGAGGCTCAAAGGTTGGCATTGCCAATATCGGCGGTTGCCTCCACCGGCGGAAGATGATCCTGATCTCGGTGATGGTGGCAGATGCTCGGCCTTCGTAGATGGCCAAGGCAATACCACTAACACCTAAACCCAAGATCAACGGTCTCTGGTGGAAACGCCTCCCGGTGTTTAAAGAAACAGAAAACAGTATAAACATGAACTGTCGGAAGCTGCAGCTTTCTCGGATCGGCGCTGGATCCCCCGTCCTGGCGCGCGGAGCGCGCCAGGGGTGGCGCCGCATGCACCGCCAGGCGGGACCCAGCGCAGATCCAAGAAATTCGGGCGGACATCCGAAACGTATGTTTATCCCGTGCTCTATCCCTCGACATTCCTAGGGCCCCGAAGCTGCGATCCCAGACTTTTCCCCCAAGACCAACTCTTAATCCTGAATGGTTTTCTGACAGTCCCCGGGCCCGTGGAGGGCGTCGGGAAGCCCCAACTGGCGAAAAACTCCACGACCTGTTTCCCTCAGGACTTGTTTTTCTTTTATTCACGGCGAGCGGTCCTTAAGGCTGCGATCGCGGCGCATCATGCTGCTCGCGCGGCCAGTACGCGCCCTGGGCGGCGTGCGGTGCGGCCGCCGTTCAGATATTCCAGGCGGCGCTCGGCACGCTCTCGAGGGCCGCACCGAGCTCGGACCATCATGGCTGCGGGCGGGGGGGGCCGTCAGGGGTGCAGGGGGGGCTGTCGGGGCGGGGTGTCGTGGGGGGACCAGACAGGGGGGGGGCAGGGGGGTATCGGAGGTGTGTCGGATTGGGGTCAGCGAAGCTGTCGGATGTGGCAGCAACTCCCCTCCCCGATGTTTTTTTTGGAACCATAACGGTAACGGGACAATAAACCGCATTGCGGAATCTAGAAACCGAATCCTGGAGCAACGTTGCATGCCCAAAGCTTTCTCGTATATTCTGCACGCCCAATAATGGAAAACGTCCCTGCTAGGGCCTACGGAGGCCTATGCTCGGTAGCCTGCACCGTTGCCCATGCACATCTCAATTGGTGGGACTTCGCTCGTCGGCGGGCTCTCGGAACCCGATCATTGAAACCCCGGATCGTGGTCCTCACCGCCGGCCGGCCGAGCGAAGCGACTGAAAGACGCAAGGGAGTGGGAGAGGGAGAAATGGAGGGGAGAACCCACCGCACCACCACCACCACCTGGCTGGGCACCTGGCTCTTGGGCGGTACTCCCCTTCTGGTTCTGGACTACTCCGACATAGCGGTTGTCCTCTAGCATCCTCCTGGTGGCAGCTTGGGATCGGTTCTTCAGTCCTGAATCCTCTCGTATTCTATCCACCTCTGATCCCTCATCTACAAATATCAACCTCCCACTCGTCACTAAGTGAAACAACGCCGCGTTAAACTTTGTCACATCGTTTTTCGTCAGAGAATCCACAGGCATTCTTCCGTGGAGCGTCCCGCGGACTTGGCAGGATGCTTGTTCTAGTGCTTCGCATATTATTGCCAGGTCGCTTGCTGCGCGCCTATATTTAGCACGGGCGTTACCTTTTTTGATCATAGTGTCGTACATTGGCTTGGCGTCCACTACGTGGGTCTGGCCTTCTCGGGTTCCAAAGCGACAGACTTGACGGAGTACTGTAGTGAATGGGCCAGATCGTCTGTGATGGTCACGGATGGTCACATCTCGGAACGCCAAGTATCGGCACATGATTTGAAGGTACTCTACCTCGGCCACGGTTGACGAGAATGCTTGCGTTTTGCCCGCCAAAATTGACGGAACCTTGCGCCGGAGTTTCGACCTGCGTCAGCCGAGGATGGACGCGCCGACGCACTGGTTTTCTTCTATGCTGCGATCGCATGCGAGTACCATCCACGCTCCTTGAATGGGGTTCTCTGGGAGCCCCCTGGAATTCTCGGTTCCCGGGCCACAGGAACCTCCTGCATCAGAGAAGGATACAAATGACATGTGCTCTGGGTTCAGTTTCCACACAATCATCCACCTACAGGCAGTGACACAGAGGTGCTTGACTCACTTGTCAGCCAGACTGACATCTCCAGCGGTTGCCGCCTTCAGGCGGCTGGTAAGCATACTCGCAGGTCCTGCTGCTTCTGGTCGAGCTTCTCGACCAATCCAGTTTAACTTATACACAAGAGACCTGAGCGACCGAAGCTCTGAGTCCTCGAGGGGCGCATCTTTGTGTGCAAAACGTCCCTTTGCCAGTGAAATGGGTCGGATCTCTTCTAGTTCCATATCAATGGTGGTTCGGTTTGGTCCGACGGTAACACGACGGCCTGCGTACTCGACAAGTCCAGCATGGCAGTCCTTGTACTTGCCGAAACGGAAGCGTGACTCCAGGAGACCGCGCAACCATGACGGATCAGTGACCCCTTCGGCGCGTTAACCTCCTCGCACGGCTCGACGTAGATTTCGCCCTGCGCCCGAGACATCTTATCCGATTGCATGATAGCGTTATTGACATCTGCGATATCCGCGCGCACCCCTAGGTTCATCATGATCTGGGCAAAGAGCAGGATGCTTGATGCCTGGGTGCGGGAGAGTACGCCTGCAAGGATCCTGCATCTGGGTCCTTGTGTCCGTGGACGCACCAGCGCGACCTCGCTTCGGGCTCGGTGAGCGCGCCCTCCACCGGCTTCCACCGACGGACCACTCAACTAGAGAAGATCCGCCCGGGCTGGCTGTTCCTCCCGCACGACGTCCGCCTGCTCGGGAGGGATGACCTCCGCGCCTTCAGACCCACCCACACTGCCCCACTTCTGCTGATCCGATGCATCGAACTTGGCTCGGCCCCGGGGCCCAAGTTTTCTCGGACACACATCCCCGCCCCTACTAGCGGCGAACACCCCGTTGCCCCGCCATCCAGCGGGGAACCCCGCTCCGCTACCAACTGTGGCAGCAACTCCCCTCCGCGATGATTTTTCAGACTTGAGCCATAACGGTAACAGGACAGTAAACCACATTGCTGAAACAATAAATCGAAATCCTGGAGCACGGTTACGTTACACGGAGAGGCTGTCGGGGGGGCGCAGCGGGGAACGAAAGTGTTAGTGGGGCTCGTTGTGTATTTGCAGCGTTTGCATGGCCAGGGGTGCTCCAGACCCTAGCACTCCTCGGGTACGGCAGAAAGGGGGGAGGGCAGCCTCTAGGAAGAAACCCAGGACCCCCCCCATAGCCGATAGAAAACGCACGACGAGCTTACTAGGGCATCTGAAGATCTTCCTTGGGGGGCTGGCCTGCATGAAAAAATCCAGGCCCCCCCCCTCATAGCTTGTATCAAATGTACGACGAGCCTCTGATGGCATCTGAAGATCCTCTTGGGGGGGAGCTGAGGAATTTCTTGGGAGGCTGAAGAGCTCCTCGATGGGGACTGAAGAGCTTATTGGGGCCTCTGGGGATCTTCTTGCGGTCTCTATAGAGTTTCTGGGGATGTAAAGCTTATGGCGACTTCCGGACAGTTTATTGGAGCCTCTGGGGGGCTTCCTGCGTTCTCTCTAACGTTTATTGCAAATCGATGATATGACGATGATGAGGAGGAGGAGGAGGAGGGTGAGGAGGAGGATGCTGGTGGTGGTGGTGATGATGTTGGTGCTGCTGATGATGGTGACCATGGCGACGATGACGATGACGACGATGATGATCCACGAGGATGATGATGATGGAGATGGGGGTGATGATGTGATGATGATGTGATGATGATGGTGATGATGGTGTTGGTAGTGATGATGCTGCTGATGGCGATGGTGAACATGATGATGGTAGTGATGATGATGCTGACCGTGATGAGGGTACTGATGGTGATGCTGATGATGATGTTAATGATGATGACGATGCTGGTGAAGATGATTATATGGATGTTGATGAGGAGGAGGAGGATCAGGATAACAAAGAGAAGGGGAGGAAGAAGGAAGAGGATGCGGAGGAGAGTCGTCACATGTGACACCTCTCATTATCACGTTTCGGCGGACCCTCATGGAAGTTTTGTTTGATGTCTTGGGGCTGTCCTGGGCTCCTGAGGGCCAGTCGTGGGGCTCCCGTGGGGTCCTCTGTGTCCTTCTCGGGGCCGTCTTGGGGCTCCTTTGGGGCCCTCGCGGCGGTCTGGGGGATCTCTTGGGGTCGTCGTGAGGCTGTATTGCGCCGTGCAGGGATTCTTGCGACAGTACGCGCGCAAGGGCGCTCTTGCGATGAAGACATGCGCGCGCGAGAGGCCCATGTGGAAACATGTGATGCACATGTTGGGAAAAAACCTATGGTTTTCTCAGAGAGCCCGAACGCAAGCTTGTTCTGAACATCCGTGTTGGGAAACCATGTGGTTTGAATATTTTCGGGACACTCGATTTTGAAATCCTTCCGGAAACTACGGTGTTTGAACAAATTCGGCATGCGCGCGCGACGACGCGCGTATGTACACTTCGTCCCCCTCATTTGCAAATGATGTTTGAACACTGACGAGTTTTGATAAAAGGGTGCGCGCGCATACGGACTTTTGCAGAGGATGAGGTGGGGGCGATATTAGCCGGGCTGAGGTGGTATGAATTCAGATGTTAAGATGGATGATGGGGCGGAATCGTATTTAAAAACAAAACGAAAAGAGGATACGTTCAGTCTGAGGAGCTCCCATTACCTGGTTTAAAGGAGGGAGAAACAATGTGGTGCGATCTATACTGTGCCACTATGCTATGCAATGTCGCGCGATCTGCGTGCAAGCTATGTGGTGTAAGCTAGGTTGTTCGATCGATGTTGTGCAGTAGATGTGGTGCGATCTGTGCGGTGCAAAATAGGTGGTGCAGTATTGAAGGTGTTATTTGTGTGGTGCAATATCTGTGATGCAAGCTATGTGGTGCATTCTAGATTGTGCGATCGAGGTTGTGCATTATTTGTGGTGCGTTGTATGTTGTATGATCTCAGAGGTGAGATTTATGTTGTGCAGCCTATGTGGGGCAATATATGGAATTCAATGAAAATTGTGCGACCTATGAGGTGTGATCTACGTGCTGCAGTCTGTGCGGTGCAATCGGTGCGAGGCGGCGACGGGCGGCGACGAGGCGGCGACAGGGCGGCGGCGGCGACTACATGGCCGCCAGAGCGGCACATCGGCAAAGACGACGGGCGGCGACGAGGCGGCGACGGGGCGGCGACGGCGACTACATTGCCGCCAGAGCGGCACACTGGCCCTGACGATGGGCGGCGACGAGGCGGCGACTGGGCAGCGAGGGCGACTACATAGCCGCCAGAGCAGCACACTTGCCCAACCCACAAACAAAAAAGCCCTAAGTGCAAGCACTGTTTGGGGAACTTGCGTGTTCAGCTGCCGCTGGATATGTATGGACATCTGAATCTGTGAGTGCGAGCCCTCTGGAGCTCGCAAAGGACATGCGGGTACCGCCCACAATTCGGCCCATGGTGCCCCTTCGAGCACAAACGGTTGCGGAGCAGCAGGCAACTCACACTTGGGCTTACAAGGAGGGGGTCGGGAGGCGCCCATGTGTCGAGGAATTGGCCCGGCGGCGGGACGGAAACCATCTGCATGTAGCCGATTTCGCAACCCCTCTTTCCCTATCCCCCCCTTTCGTTCGGCCCGAGGGGGGCGGGAGGGGGGGCCAGGGGCCAGGATTCGGGGGCGGCCCAGAGGGGGCGTCCAAGAGGGGGGGGGCACAAATCATGGCCAGCGGCATGTGCGCGGCTCAGGGGGGGGGGCAGGGATTGAAATGAGAAGAAGCGCCATGAAATCTGGGGAAATATCATGGCCCAGGCCATGATATCCACTCCCCCTAATCATCACCCCCCTCTTTGCCGTCCCCGAAGGATGGCGGGCAAGGGGGGCCAGCCAGGCCAGGGCGGGAGGAGGCCCGGGGGGAAGGCCCGAGCGCACTTGGAGCGGAGCCCCTGTAAGTGGGGCGTGGCGCCCCTCGGGCTCCTGTGGGTCCACACAGCCATCGGGTGATGAGAGCTCACTGCACCGACCTTGTAGACGTGCTGTAGCGGATTTTTGCGTGTTCTGCCAATGAAAAACCCCGAAACGACAAGTGAAACACGAAGTTAATTTCGCGTGGATTTCTTTAGTCTTCATTCCTGGCCAAACATCCGCACGAAATGATCCTCGAAATCCGGAATGAAATTCTCCAGGACACTCCAGACCCATCCGATCGTCTTCCGAACGAAACCAGTTGGCGCAATGAGACTTCCGTGGGCACCTGCTGGCAGGCGGGTTTCTCATGTGACGCGCCTTCTGCGCCCGCACCCGCTCTCAGCCAGAGCGTGCGTCGCAGGAGGGATAGATACGCAAATTGCCCCTCGGAGCTCAGTCCTGCCCAGCCCACATGTCTGCGGCTTCGATGGCCAGAATGCACCGCTGAACGCCGCGTGCCATCTGCTCTCGAAAGGGGGCTTGAGCACCGATCCTGCGTGAGAAAGCAACTAACGAAAGCTGTTGGTCTGGTCGTCCCATTGCGCCCGATAGCGCGCCCAATCGCGCGCAAAGCGGACACAATTCATCCCCCTCACATGGCGCTATCGGGCGCTACTGGTCGCTTTTGGGCGCTACTTGGGCGCTACTCGGCGCAGCGGGAGCTTCCGCGATTTACTACCTAGCCCGTTGCACCGAGAGCGCCAAGGGGCCTCAGCACGGTGCTGTCCGGCTGAGCTCCTGCTCCAAACGCCGAGAGAGCCGCCCGCACGCTCCCCCCGGCCAATGAAATGGCGCCCGCCGCGGTAGACCACGCTCTTGTCCACGGACTCGGGGGGCGGCAGGGGCGGGCATCAGGGAGACGGGCAAGCGGAGAGAGGGGGCCAGCTCAGCGGGTCTGCAAGCACGTCGCGCCGATGACGGCGACGACGTCGTCGACGTCGGCGATGTCGAGGACGACGACAACGACTTCGCCGTCGACGGGAACGTCGCAACGTTATCACTCACGTCGGCAACGGTACCCCTGGCAAACAACATGAAAAGGACCGAAACGCCCTCCTTTTGGGCCTGACACGGACGTCGTCAAGGGTGGCATCAGAACGTGTGAGCGCAATTGAAGAGGATCTGCGGTGTTCCGAATGATGCTTGGGTAGACCAGAAGTCCGCCTGCTTGGATGTAAATTCGTCTTTCACTGATTCCCCAAACGGTGCTTCCACCCAAGGGATCTTAAGTGCGTTTCTAAGATATTGGATGGGTGTCTTGAGGATTCGCCACGTTCTGGATAGTTGCCGCCACATTGCCGCGAGTTGCCGCCTGGGGGGTTCCAAAGATTTACCATGTCCCGCCCGTTGCCGCCCGTTGCTGCCTGTGGGGGTGTCCAAGAGATTCGCCACGTTCTGGTCGCTTGCCGCTCGTTGTCGCCAATTGCCCCATGTGGGGATGTCCAAAGGATTCGCCACTTTCCGGTCCATTGCCGCCCGTTGTCGCATGCGGGGGTGTTCCGAAGATTCGCCACGTTCCGACGCGTTGCCGCTAGTCGCTGGCCGCTGCCGCCAGCGGGTGCGTCCCGAGGCTGCAGCTTTGCCCTTCCGAAAACAGCCGCAAAGACGTTTCGAATCCTCCCGCTCCTCGGCGGGGGCGGTCCAGTGGTTGGTTCATTGGGAATGCGAACGGGATGAATAGGAGTACGCATGCGAGGAATTCGGGGACATAGCGCGTTTGCTCAGGGTCGTGCTTCGGCATCTACTCACTGGGGCGCAGAAGAAGGAAACGCAGGAGAAGGAAAAACACGAGGAGGAAGGGAAAGAGGAGGCATGTTTCTTGGAGAAGGCGTGTTTCCTATGGTCGTGTTTCTGCGCGTGTCCACTGGGACGCGCGGTCAAGAGGATAATGAAAAAGGAGAAATCAGGATGATGAGGAGGGGAAGAAATAGGTCCCACACCATGTGTCGTCGCACTCTGTTGGTGGACGTTACGCGGTGCAGTCTGAATGGTGGAGGCTATGAGGTGGAAGCAACGTGGTGTATCCAAGTTCGGCAACTGATTTACACGCGCCGAAACACACGCGCGACGGGGGAGGGGAAGGGAAAAGGACAAGGAACACAAAGAAGAGACGAGAAGGGCGGGGGAATCAAGCCTGCAAGCTCGGGGCGGGCCGTGCAAAGCCAACGGGACGCGAAGGGCGAAACAATCAGCAGAAAAGCGAGCGCTTGCGCTCCAGGGTGCGGGCGGACTGCAAGCTGCCAGGCCACGCAGCGGGGATAGTCATACACACTGGATGCAGACAAAAAGCTGAGGAGGAGGAGGGAGGCGGAGGAGGAGGAGGAGGCGGAGGACGAAAGAAGGAAGAGGGGGAGGGCGACTGCCCGCTCAAATCGCGCGTTCGGGAGCCTTCGCGACCGCGCGGGGGCAACCGCGCCCTTACGCTGAACGCTCCGGCCTGCAAGCCACGGAGCGCGCTGACCGCGCAGGCCTCCTTGCCCCCGGCAGGCTGGCGCCCATTCCGCGGCCCCGAATCGCACCCGCATGGCTAGTTGAAATCGGAGGCCGCTGCCTCGGACGCCACCCCCGCGGGGAGCCACAAGCCCGAGGAGGGCAGGGGGCCGCCCCCCAACGAGGGGGAGGGAGGAGAAGGAGAAGGAGGAGCAAGAGGAGGAAGGAAGGGCAGAAAGAGGAGAGGAGGGGGAGGGGGATAAGGGGAAGGGGGGCGGTCCCAAACCCACAAGGTGCGGGGCCCCGCAGGGGGAGGCTTGTGGCTGGCGCTGGCTAGCCGCCCAGCCAAGGCCAGATGGACTGCGGCGCGCCCAGGCCGAGCGAGCGCGGCCTTCACAGCCCCGATGGAATGGGAGAGGAATGCGGAAAAGAGGGGGCGCGGGAGGGAGGCGACTGGGCGCCACGCCCAGATTTTAGCAAGGCGCCGCTTAAATGTTCTGTGTCCTGTCGCCGCCTCCCGCAAGGCCTGCTGCAGCGCCCGCCGCACCGCGGCTGCGGTCCGCGCTCCAGTGCATTGTTCTTCCGAGTTGCCCCAAATTTCTCTCGACAACGCGCGTTGCCGCACTTCGGCGCGCCACTCGCCCGCGATCCCGGCGCGTCTGCGGGCCCCCCATGCAAAAAGAATTGCGCGTTCGCTGTCAGTTCTCCGCGACGAAACTCGTCTTGCACCCCAAGGAACCAATCGTCCTCGTCTTCCACGCGCTCGCACTCCGTCAGCTCTGTCATTCCTTGCACTGCCCCTTCGCCTGTCTCCCCAGAAGATATGCTGCCCGCGGTCCTCCGTCGCGCCGTGGCGCGTACTTCCGCGCATTCTTCCGGTGCGACGTGGGCAGCGCAATGATTGCTGTTCCCGACGGCGGCTCCAATTGATATAAATCTCAACAGAACATCACGCTCACGCCTCCGAGCGGCCTGTCTCTCTGTCGCTCCGTTCACATAGCAACCGGCTCACCACTAACATATAAACACCCTTCAAGTGTTCCATACAGCCGGGCCTAGGACACAATAACATCCTTCAAACACGTAAGAAGGGCATCCTCCAACAATATGCACAGGAACACCCAACCAACACGAAGAGAATTAGGGCACCCTCCGCGAACCCACCTCGATCTGATACCTCGGCCCGACCGTAATACACCTTGCACATGTCCTGCCGCACGCATTTGCCGAAATCGCAAACTTATGAGTTGTGCACTCTCGCCGAAAACGCGCATTCACATTTAACCACGTGGTGCATCCTCGTTGATCCAGCATTCGCCCAATGCGTCAATCCGTAACAACAGGCAACCCACATGCGCGCGCCACCACGCGCGCACATCGAAACTCGTCCAACATCAACACCATGATTTTACGAAGAATTTCAGAATAGAGCTATTCACTAACACGATCTGACAACTATTTGTTGTTGCACCCGAAGAATTACAACATTTCTTCGTATCTGCGCGCGCGCCCTTTCTCACCACCCTCATCAACGCCACCGCATCACCGCCGTGAGCGTCATCGCCAAGCGCCGCATTGCTGCAAGTATCATCACAACCGCCTTCTCCACCGACAATGAGCATCAGCCCTGTCATCACCGTCACCAACATCGGCGCCGTCATTTATTGGCTGTGCCGTCGTCATCGTCACCATCGCACTGACCGTCGCTAGCATCAGTATCGCTGTTGACGTCATCACGATATCGAGCGAACCCAGGCCACCGACCCGCACTGAAGTGCCCGCGCTCCAGCGCGGTCTCTGAGACGCTCTGGGGGATTCTATAGGTGAGCGCACACGCTGTCGCATTAGTTATGCCAAACAAGCTGGTCGGTCTGCGCGCGAACGTAAGCGCGCCAACGCTGTCATAGAGTTATGCCGTAATCGTGACCGCACGGGTGTTGCCAAAGAAGCTGTGGGTGGAAGGGTGGGATGCTTGCGCGAGCATTGGAGTTGACGGCTTCAAGTTCTGCAACGCAGATTACACCGCATAGCTTCCCCCTCACCAATATACACCCGTTAACTTGCATCACATAGATTGCGACGCGTCCCGTTCGATGTCCACGCTGGCAAACATCCCTTTGCCTTACCAACGGGGCCAAATGGTGAGGTTCGCAGTGCCGTGGTTCGAACCTCAACAGAAACATGTTTCGTTCGGGGTAGGTACGTCAGAGTAGTCGTAGCACGGTTGAGCACAGCAGATCAGGGAGCACAACGATCACTGCATGCCATAGACTACCATAGCGCCGCACAGTGTACCAAAGATCACATCAGAGGAAATCCATCCTTCAGGAAAGATATGACGTTTCTGTGGGATGCAGAAGCAGCCCATGCCCAGAGTAAGAGTCGAGCGCTCCCACAAAGGAAAAAAAACACTGCGACGTGGCCAGAAGGCCATTCGCACAAAGAAAGAGAAGACCCCGTACACACCCGTTGGGGTACGGAGACCAACTTACTTGTGAGACCAAAATGGGTGATGAGGAAACTGCGGGGGGAAGGGGTTGACATCAGATTTGATGTGCATTGGACACACAATCCAATGAACGAGTGGACGCACACATCGGAACATCACAATCGATTAGTGCATTTGCCTGCTGGATTGTCGATCCATTTCTAGCTGTGAATAAACCGGTATACATATATATATATATATATATAAAAACATACAGATAAACATACATGTGTAGGGGTAGCTGTCTCTCTGGGCACCATGTGTTCAAACAGGGCTGCTTCATAAGGCTGCGACATGGTGTGGAAGCATGCGCAATTAGGACCTGCTCAGGGCCATGATGCTTGAAGAGGCGATGCTGGTCATATATCATACGGTTCGCTACCGACTATTCTCACTATATTTCCATCGGGTTCACTCGCCAGGGCGTAGTTTCCGATAGTAAGGCTTTGCAGAGTACATGCTTTTGGTATCATGGCCTCGGGATAACCACCAAGACAACGAACGAGACGACCATCGAGATCACCTGGCATTGATCTCACGATCTGCCGATCTCACCATACATCGGCCCCAGAGTCTTTCCATGTATGTCCATAGACCTTTCTAGCGATCAATGTACATATACACACTTTCACTGTAAATCGCTGGTTGTCGTTAGAGCGGAGTTGCAAGGTGTGCGTTACTGCTTCATGCGTTTGCGTTGCGTTACGTGCTGTTGTGTTTACAATCACGTTCATTGCTTTATCCGTCGGTTCCTGCTGCGTTTGCAGTGGTTGTCATGGTTGCTTTATTGCATGCTGTCCCGCAAAGGGTTTCGTTTGCGCTGGTTGCTCACGTGGCGCAATTGTTGTAGGCATTGGCCCACAAGGCGAATGTTTATAGTTGTGGTACGCAGGGCGCTGTCTTTTGATAGCGTTGCCCCGCAGGCCCGTTCTTCCCAACTATCCTGTGGTGTTGGGTCCTCGCTTTGCAGAAACAACGCCCCGCGTTCCTCACTCCTTCCTCTTCCCTCTCCTCCCTCCTTATATCCCTTCTTCTACCATTCGCACGTCCGCATCGGCATCATAGTCATCATCGTCAACATTATCACTACCAGCATCGGCATCATCATCATCATCATCATCATCATCATCATCATCATCATCATCATCATCATCATCATCATCATCATCATCATCAGCATCATCATCATCATCATCATCATCATTAGCATCATTAGCATCAACATCGTCATCATGATCATCCTCCTACTCCCTCCTTCTTCCTCCCGTTCCTGCCCCCGGACATGTCCGTGCCGGCGCACTCCTCACACGTTTCGTCCGCGCCACCGCCCATTTCGGCGCCACAGGGAGCTCCACCGACGGCCCCCGTGGCAGGGTCGGCATGGCGCCACCGCGCCCATGTCGGCACACTCCTCACGCGTTTCGCGGCCCCATAGGGAGCTCCACCGAAGGCCCCTGTGGCAGGGTCCGCATGGCGCTACCGCGCCCATATTTCGGCACACCCTTCACACGCTTCGTGGCCTCATAGGGGCACCGATTTCAGCAAGCCCCTCACACGTTTTGCTGCCCCATAAGAAGCGCCACCGAAGGCTCCCGTGGCAGGATCCACATGGCGCCACCGCGCCCATATTTCGGCACAGCCCTCACACGCTTCGTGACCTCATAGAGAGCTCCACCGCAGGCCCCAATGGCTGCGCTCGCATGGTGTACTCGCCACCGATTCGGCACACCCCTCACACGTTCTGTGGAACAATCGGGAGATTCACCGAAAGCCCCAATGGCTGCGGTTGCATGGCATACCCGCCCCCGAATCGGCACACCTCTCACACGCTTCGTGACCTCAAAGGCCACTCTACCGAAGGCCTTATTGGCTGCGTTCGTATGGCGGCACCGCATCCGCTTTGGTACATCCCTCACGGGCTTCGTTGACCCATAAGGGCTGCCCCTATTTCGTCCCACCTGCCTTGCGGTACTCGCATGTGCATATTGTTGGGTTCTTCGCCAGGATTTGTTCTACTATGGCCTCACGCACGCGTTGTTTGGTTTTGTGGTGTCGCAGATCGCATGTGTTTGGTATCGCGGCCACCCAAACCGCAATGTTCCACGTCGTGGCCCCGAGCAATTTTTGTATGGTTCTCTAGCCCTTGCGGGCGCATGTGTTTGGCAGCATGGCCTCGCAAAACCATCGGGACACCCATCAGGACAACCATCGGGACAACCGTCGGGACAACCGTCGAGACAACCATCGAGACAACCATCAAGACTACTATCTGGACAAACATGCGCACAATCGTCGGGACAACCGTCGGAAAACAAACATTGGGGCAACCATCGGGACAACCACCGGGACAACCGTCGGGACAACCGTCGGAGCAACCATCAGGACAACCATCGGGACAGCCATCGGGACAACCACAAACATGACCATTGGGACAACCTATCGGGACAACCCCGCCCCACGGCCGCCGTAGGGGTAACTCATTTTTGTCCGCCTAAGCCTCCACTAGACAAATGGATTCGCATCACCTGCACGCACGGCGCGCACGACAAGCACCGATACCGAAACCGATTTCCCGGCTGCGGCACCTTACGTGTCGCTTCGGTCTCACCCCCCAGGCACCGACTAAACAAATGGAGCGCCATCCAGGAACATGTCCAATGATTTCTGTTATGTTGTTGTTGCTGTTTTGGGCGGCGGGTCTCAACAGCATGTGTGTGAGTGTGCGTGCGTGCGTGTGTGTACGCATGTGGAAACGCAAGGCGAGGAGCATAGGATAGCGAAGACACGTGGGTTCGATGACCGCTGGCAGACCAAGCGAGGATACTGGTAGGTGAAAGGATGAATATCAAATGTCTGAACAAATGAGCGTCTGGCTCGGGACATCCCCAGGCTGGTAATAGACCACCCAGGATCAATTATGCAGCAACCACACCTCCATCTGACTATTATGGCCCACTTCTCTCCTTCTCTCCTTCTCCTCCGCCTCCGTCTCTCCTTCTCCTCCGCCTCCAGTTCCCACCCTTTCTTTCTGTCCTTCTCTCCTTCTCCTCCGCCTCCTCCTACATTTCCACCCCCAGTAGCACACCTTGAAACAACATCCGCATAACTAATGTCACATGACCTCTTAGGATGCATGTAAGTGATTCAGATGACCAGCTCTTCCAACACAGCCTCGTCTTGCTCTTTCGAAGGTGGGTGGGGAAGGCCCCCCGGCCTCCTCATTGAGGATATGAGCTGGGGCTGCGACCAGGCAGAGCGTCCAAGAATGGCCCTTGATAGCTCCAAGATTGCCCCTTGTAGCCCAACGTGATTCCAGCATTGCGCAACGAGTTGTCAAAACCATTGGACGAACAATAAGACGTTCAATGATGTTATGCTGATCACCTTTCCAACTTCAAGATGTCCCTCGGGCCTCAAGACTGCCCTAAGAGAGACATCGGATGGGGGCCCAGGAGCAACAGGGGAGGGTCCAAAGTGCAGCCAGGAGCATTCCAAGAGAGTTCAAAGACACAACTTCTCAGGAAGTGGAAACCGAGGCTCCCCCCTTGTTTGGCCAATGGCCTCTCAGGAGAGGGCCCGAACAACATTCAGAATTACCACAAGAGGGCACCGAGAGAGCCTCAAGATGTTAAGATCCAAAGACCAAGGGGCCCCAACGGCTGACCACCCTTGCAATTTCAAGATGCTGCATAGGCTGGTCGATATCCGCGCTCGGTGTTTCGTTAATGTTCCGTCACTTCCCCTTTTTGCGACAGCCCGACTAAGAACCGTTCCTGGATGGGCTGCTGGGGATACGCGAAGCAACAACCACACTGTCCGACTCGACCAGCACAGCAATTTCAGCACGTGTTGCAATGGAGAAGCACACAAAGCGGGAATGAGAGGAAATAGTGTGGGTCAAATGGGACATTGTTTTACTGCGAATCGACTAGGGGTTAACAGCATGGCCGACGAAGCATTCCACAACTGTGATCCACCCAACTACCTTTTTTGAATGTCAAAAGATACAAACAATGCTCTGTCCAACCAACGTCATACCGATAATCGTACGCCAAGAAGCCATGAGAGGACAATGCATTCCGAACGAAACGCTGTCCTTGCTGAACCGATTGTACTTTAGACCTCCGTGACCACTCTTACACTAAGTATGTGCTTGCTGCACTTGAGTCTCTTTTGGTGATGGCAGCGGATCAAAGTACTGCTGTCATTTTCACATCCTGCACCAGAAACACATGCTAAAGATCCTGCTGCTAGACAGGCCGTGCCAACGAACGAAGCCATCGAACATATGTGGTCTGTTCCCACAAAGTTTGAGGAACACTCTGCTGTGATGTGGCTGCTTCATATCGACATGTCTCCGCGGATGTCGTTTGGGAGTAATCTCACAGGCGCATCATGCAAGAATATATAGCAGATGGGACGCCGTTTCAACATGACATGCGCTGTCAAATAACGCAGAAAGATAGAACAACCGACGCCCATAACACTGATCTACATCTGGAACTGCGGAGCAAGACTTCGTCAGAGCCACAGGGCACAGCGGACGACGGGCTTAGACTGAGAGATGGGGATGCGTGACCATGTGTCTTGTACCATGCCGAATCAAAGCAGAAACCCGAACATGTTGTACATTTTCTGACGCATCGAGCGCGAAGAAAGTTTATTGTCTTGTATCGTCGAGGGGCCATGCCTGTCACATTGTAACGCTACCTGCGTCGACCATCTACAGCCAGGAGCTGTTGCTTAGCGTGGCGTGCCGCGGCGTTGATAGCGCGCACCTCTGCTCATCGAGGCGGGGGGGCTGCGACAATCTCGGAATGCTGATGCTTGGGGATGGGACGTGCTCAGCGCGTCGCGCCGGAGCGTGGTGGGCCACAACCAGCGGCGCGACACGCTGAGCAACATTTTCGGACCATGACCCACGTCGAATCAACACCGCGCCTGTCGAATTCACGTCGAATTCGCCTCGAGCCCGTGGCGGATACAAAAAACAAGCACTAATTTCACGGGACGCATCGTCAATTCTGATGTTCCGCCCATCCCGCTACGTATGCAATTATTTGTCTTCGGACTACGCGCAGGCAACCGACGCTCGGATGTCCGCGCAAGCGAGATCGTTTTCATGCGCCGCCCAACGCACCCCATCTGCGATGTATTGTTTGTGCCGTGGCCCTCCGGCTGCTCCTGTGTCTATGAGGGGGACCGCGATAAAGGGGCAACCAGCTCAAAGGGGGGAACCATCGACTTAGAATCAGCGATGCATCGGCGATAGATCGGCGACAAACTATCGATAACGAAACCGTGCGTTTCTGCATGCCACCAGGCCCCACATGCCCTCTATTTCCCAGGCCATCTCGGTTCGGGGGGGACGTAAAGCCTTTACGTCCCCCGTGCGCGCGTTGCGTGATATCTGTAGGCAAACAGTTCTCACTAGAATATGATCCAACATGCATACAATATAATAAGTGTACACTTTGTTGTAGACGACCTTTTTGTTCCTATGAGAGGAAGATGTTGTGACAAAGGTGGGGCAGGGGCATATTGGGGCTAGTAGAACAAATCTTTTGAACGGCTCCTGGGGGAAGGAAGCGGCAACATCCAAAATTACCCGTTGCCCAAGCCCGCCTTGAGAGAATATCGCCCCAACGGGCCCCCGAGCCGTGAGGGAGAAAATCGCGCACCAGACGCCTGGCAAGACACTGTCCAGGGGTGGGTACTGACTGAAAGCACAAAGGAGGAGGAAGAGAAGGAGAGGGAGGAGGAGAAGGAGGAGGAAAGGGAGGAGGAAGGGGAGGGGAGGAGGAGGAGGAGGAGGAGGAGGAGGAGGAGGAGGAGGAGGAGGAGGAGGAGGAGGAGGAGGAGGAGGAGGGAGGAGCAGGAGGAGAGGAGGAGGAGAAGTGAACGAGGGATTGATGGGGGAGGATGGAGGGGGAGGGAGGAGGGAGGGGGGGGGGGGGGGGGGGCAGGGAGTCGCCCCGCTGGCCCCGCGCACGCTCGCGAAAATGTGCAGCAGTTGCGCAGTTGGCGCGCTCAGGGAAGCGAGGTCCAGCTCGGGTGTTGGGAGGGACGCGGCTCCGCCGTCGGGCCCCTCCGGAGCTCGCGGGAGAGCGGGGACACGTGTGCAGATGGCAGCCCGTGACATCAGCCAATAGGAGGGAGGGAGGACATGGGGGACAGGAGGAGGGATGCTGCGGAAGGACGGGAGCAGGGAGGAACAGCAGCGCTCTATTAGTAGCGAGAACCCAACACAAGAGGATCTGAACCCACCATGCCCACAACCCGAGACGCATCCAACCTTTTCGAACCGTGAGGCGACTATCGACAGGAACGCTCCACACACTAGAACATATAGGGAGAGCAGCAGCACTCTTGCACGCATCGCCAAATAACGTCGGACCACACTCACAACCCTCCACGCACGCAAGCACTTTCGCAAGGCAGCTCGTACACATGACGGTCACAACGAGGGCGCCGAGGAAGATGATCACGGTGGACAGCAGGAGGATGAGAAGGATGAGGAGGAGGATGAGGAGAATGAGGAAAAAGAAGATAAGAGGGACAATCGTTGTGCTAAATCTGCAGCGATCACCCCTGAAAAGCGCGCTGCTGCGCTTTCCTGACCAAGTGGCCCGAGTTTGTTGCGGCCGGCAGGCAGCTGAGGATTGGGAGGGGAAGTGGGCCGCCAAAGACACCGCCATGTGCCACGTGACGCCCCAGCGCTCTGCGCTCCGTTCTGGAAGAACACCGCGGGCTCAGGACCGCGCCGCGCGCCATGTGACAGGCGCCCTTCGATATTTGACTGGTCGACGCCCGTTGCAAGCACCGCAGCTGGCGCAAACAAGGTAGGCATGAATGCACACGACTGGGCCCTCTCGGAGGCCACGAAGGTGGCGACAATTGCGCAGGTGGCAGCCCCCAGATGGCTCGTGAGTTCTCGACTGGATCCGCCTGTTCCTCCGCGCCGCTGACCTGCGCGGAACCCAGGCGACAGTTGCGCAAAGGCGGTTGCCCTGATAGCTGCCAGGTCCCGACTGGGTCCCAGTGCCCCTCCGCTCCGCTGCACTTTCCAAGATGCAACGATAGTGGATGCGGCTAAGGATTGGCATCTCCCCAGGAACCGCGAGGTCTCCACTAGATTCACGTGTCCCTCCGCTCCGGTGGACCCCTCACGAGCCCACGAACGTGGCGACACTTGCGCAGGTGGCAACCGCCCCCCAAGGGGCCGCGAGGTCTGACCAGGATGTGCGTGGGACGCCGCTCCGCTGGGTCTCCCAGTGGCCCGCGACTGCAGCGGCCGTTGAGCCAGCCGGTGGCAGCCCCTCAGGAAATGCGAGGTGCGGTCTGGATGCGCGTAGGGCACCACTCCGCAAAACCACCCAGGAACCCACGGAAGTGGCCACAATTTCGCCGCGAGGTCCGCCTGGATCCGCGGTGTGTCACCGCCCCGCTGACATGCCCGGAGCCCACGCGGTGGCAACAGTTGCGCAGATGGCGGCCCCAAGAAGGAATACGTAGAGGAGGTTGAAAAGGAAAAGGACCAGCAGTGCTTCATCCAAAACGAAGGCCCAATCAAATGGAAGGTTGGGGAAACGCCGGCCTGGCGAAGGACCCAACGATTTGCAACCGAGAGTTCAGCAACATATTTTGACTAAAGGAAGGGAGGGGGCTAGCAAAAGGACAAATGCGTACTTGAGAAGGACGGAGCGACGTTGCTGGTGGGGTCGCCGCGGTCAACCGCGACGGGTTCCGTCTGGATGTAACCCCTCGCGACTGATCTGGGCGTGTGTCGGCCCAGCCCAGGTGGAGCAGCAGGGCGCGGTCTGGGGAGCTGCAGGAAGCGGTGCCTCCGGTGGAGCTCCAGAAGGGCCGCGAAACGTGCGAGGTGTGTGCCAACATGGGCGCGGTCACTCATGCGATTCTTGCCGATGGGGCTTCGGGTGGAACTCCCAAGGGGGCCGCGAAACGTGCAAGGGAAGCTCCGAAATAGGCACGGTCACGCGTTGGGGCCTTCGGCGGAACTGTCTATGGGGTCGCGGTCACGCATGCGATACCTGTCAATTGGGCTCTATACGGGGCTCCCATGTGGGGCCACGTGCGAAGGGTGGGCCGGCATGGGCGTGGTCACGCATGCGATTCTGTTGAATCGGACCTTCAGTGGATTTCCCTATGGGGCCACGTCGCGTGTGCGGCGTGTGCCGAAATGGTCAGGAGGATGTATGCGAACGCAGCCGTTGGGGCCTTAGGCGGGGCTCCCTATGTAGTCACGGAACGTGTGAGGGGTACTCACAACCGGGGTGGGGAGAGCATGCGGGCACAACGTCTGGAGCCTTAGGTGGGGTTCACCGTGGGGCCACGAAACGCGTGAGGCGCCGAAGTGTGGTGGTGGGTGGATTGGGTGAGCATGCGGGCGCAACTACTGGGGCCTTAGGTGGAGCTACGAGTACGCCAAAGTGGTGGCAGCGGCATGCGGGCGCAACCGCTGGTGCCTTAGGTGCAGCTCCCCAAGGGGGCCACGAAGCGTGTGAGGGGTGCGCCACAGGGATGGCGGCGGCGTGCGGGCGCAACCACTGGGTCATCGGGTGGAGCTCCCTATAGGGCCACGCAACGAGTGAGGGGTGCACGGATGTGGTGTGGCGGCGGCATGCGGGCGTATTCGTTGGGGACTTAGGTGGCGCTCCCAATGTCTTCACGGAATATGTGAAGGTTTCGCCAAAATGGGGCGGGGCCCGCATACGGGTACAACCACTGAAGCAATATGTGGAGCTCCTGATGGGGCCACGAGACGTGCGAGGGGTGCGCCAAAGTGGACCGGCGGCGGCACGCGGCGGCGGCACGCGGGCGCAACCACTATGGTTTTAGGTGGGCCTCCCTATGGGGCCACGAAGCGTATGATGGGTGCGCCAAAATGGGGTGGCGGCGGCATGCGGGCGCAACCGCTAAGAGGCGTTTGTGTGGAGTTCCTTATGGGGCCGCGGAACTTGTCAGGGGTACGCCAAAGTGGGGTGGCGGCGGCATGTGGGCTCAATCGCAGAGTTCTTAGGTGGAGCACGCAATGAGGCAAAGAAGCCCCATCACACCCGATCAGCAGGCTGGCGCGGGAATGCCTGAGAAGTACATGCAGCTGCGTACAAGCAGCGGCGCCACCAATGTGAGGTGGTAGACCTTGGAGAAGCCGTTGAATGCAAGGATGTCTGGGAAGGGGAAGGGCGTGCCAAAACCGTGGCTCGAATGATGCACCGGACTTGGAATAAGGAGTCATGAAACAGTAAGGTTGGAGCTGTCTACCCCGTCTGAGCGCGTGACCTCTCGAGGCGGATCGATCCGTGACAGGTCCCCGAGAAAAGCAATCACCGCCAGTCCCTGTGAGCTTTCAACGACGCCTAGATCTGACATAATTCAACCCTCTTGATACGCTCGGGACATACCTTAAACCTTGGGCGGCCGTTCGAGATGGCTTTGGAATCCCTGGGAACGCGCCCGATGAGGCGCGACCGACGGAACACGACTGCCTCCTCATATCTGCCTGCTCCTTTCCTCCCCCCACCTCTTTCCTCTTTCCTCATGCTGTAATATATCCCTCCTCTCTCCTTTTCCTCCCTCCTCCCTTCGCCTCCTTTTGCTCACTCACTCATTCTCCTTCCCTCTTCCTCCTCCTGCCCCTCCTATTCCCCCTCCCCCCTCCTCCTGAGCCTTCCTCCACGTAATTCCTCCACCACTGCTCCTTATAGATAACTCCCCCCTGCCGCAACACCAAGCACGTTGGTAGGGCGGGCCAATCGTTTCGCCTTCAGAAATCCAAATGCTATAAGGATGGAGCGGGTGTAACATTCAAAATGGGGTTCTTGCCTTAGCGCCGCGTGCAGTAACTTTGAACTAGTGCCACAGTCACAAGGATGGAGGGCGGCTGATGTTTAACATGTACCTCGCGGGTTAGCGAAGCACGCATACATCTTAAACGCTTGCAACAGATACAAATACAATGATGAAAGGCGGTACAATTTCTAAATGGGGCCCTCGCCTGAGCGCCGCGCACTTTTGTCATACAACTTCGTGACAGTTATAAATGTGGAGTGCAGTTCCCTTTTAAAGCGGAGTCTCGACGGACACCTCGTTGAGCTGTGTGATCCTACATTATCGTGTTCCTGATTTTCCCGCGAAAAGCTCTTACTTGCAACAAGAACTCAAGCAGCTCCTTGTTCAAAACACGGCTCTCGCCTGAGTGACAGGCCCACCATGCGCGCGTCTTCCAAGGGGGGCGGTTCTTGTATGAAATGGACAGCTGGTACTGGCCTCTGATGACGAGGAACTTGTGACGGGGGGGGTGGTGGTTTGCAGCATCGTTGGAGCACCCTGGGTTTACGCTGGTCCTCCCTCCAGCTCTTCCTCCTCGTTCTCCTTCGTTCGGCCTCGCCCACCTCCTCCTCCTCCTCCTCCCTTTCCTCCTCCCCCTCCTCCTCCTCCCTCCTTCCTCCCCCTCCCTCCCGTCCTCCTTCTTCCTCACCCCTCATCTCCCTTCCCCCTCATTATCCTCCTCCTCCGTCCGCCGCCTCCTCCTCCTCCTCGTCCTCCTCCTCATCCTCATGTTCCTTCTCCTCCTCCTCCTCCTCCTCCTTCTCCTCCTCCTCCTCCTCCTCCTCCTCCTCCTCCTCCCCGTCGCTCTCTTCCTCCTCGTCCTCCGCCCCCTCCTCATGTTCATCCTCCTCCTCCTCCCGCCTCCTCCTCCTCCTGCGCGAGTGGGAGCGTGCTCGGCTGGTTCGCGGGAACTTACGTGACAGCCAGGGTTGGAGAGGCGCAGAGTTTGATTCCCAGCTAGGCCGTTGGAGCAGCGCTGCGCAAGCAGCTACGATGCGCGTCTGTACCGAGGAAACGGCGGGGTGAGGAGCAAGGAGAGGAGGAGCAGGATGAATAGACGACTTAGTCTGGGACCCCAATAAAAAATCCAACTGTGCACGAGCCTTCGCTTTGCAGCCGACTAACCAGGAGCAGGGGGGAGGACAGGAATAGGAGAGGTTGGGGACGAAAGCGATAGGCCACATTGTTTCTGCCAGAATTGAGGAGCACTGAGTAAAGGCCCCACCCCCTTGCGACCGTACTCGGTGGGCTGCAGCGAGCCAAGGGACGAGAAGACCAATACCAGGATGCCCACTGCGATGATGCACCAACACCTCGATTCACACTGCCCGCCCGGATGCTTGGGCAACTACATAATCTGGGTATGCCCCTGTTTAGCGTCATCCATGCGCAATCTGGGAAACCCTGCAACCGATGTTCTGGGAAGCTCAGATCCTAGAAGAATGCAAGACAACGCATACGTTCGATAAGAGACGTTCTGGGAACCCAAGGGGACATGCCATCCAAGATGAACATGGTGAACAAATGAGAGGCGCGAGTCAGTAGCTACCTGGCTGTACCCTGCCCTGACCACTTTAGACTCTGAAGCGGTTACTTAGATCGACTTGCCACCTCAGCTCATGCGGCGTAGCATGTGCGACGACGCCCTCTGGCGTTTACAAGGCGCCGCCGTTGGTGGAGACACGCAGCGGGCTCAGGATGATGCAGGCGCAAGAGGGCGGGGGGGCACAGTCAGAATAAGATGTTGATGGAGAGGCCCCTCAGATGCATGCCAAGAAACCCGTATATTCATCCAACAGGCCAGTGACCCACGGCACATGCACGGTGGCGGGTTGGGCTTGAGGCTACTAGATAACCTCCACGACCGTCTCAAGCTCTGACTCCTTCCGGGGTCGGCGGAATGGCGTGAGCCACTTGAGTAAGATGTTGATGGAGTGCGCTAGGCAGGGACTGACTCAGTGGGGGCGAGCCAGCGAGCTGGCATCGGCGATGCATCGCCGATAGCTAGGCGGAGGCTTCCGACAGCAAAACCGCATGTTGCTGGGCGGGTTGGGGCTATCGGGCCCCTGTCAGCGATAAGTGGGCTATTGAGGGCCGATGCATCCCCACCTGAGCCTATCCCCGTCTGTCTCTGATTACTTTCGGGCCCTAACTCGGACCTCTGGCGGCCGTTCGGGACGGCTCGGGCACCAACAGAACGCTGTGGGCGAGGCGCAGCCGCCGGGAGGCATCCTGAAGACGGGGAGCCACTGAGAACCGAGGAAAACGTCCGAACGCCTGGAACCTCGAACCTCGAAGCTTCGTCCCCCCATGAGCTGATTCCCCCCTAGCGTTGCCCCTGAGGTGCACTGGGAAACTGAAAAGACACATGGCTGGATTTCCGTGCGGAGCATTGTGGAAGCCTAGCGCACGTGGCCACAGAACCGCCGAGCGTTGGAAGCGCAAGCGAGTCGGGGCGGTGCAGAGTCGACTAGACACGTACGGTAAGATATCTTGCTGTACGAAATCTTGAGACACATCCTTCTTCGATCTGTGAGGGTCCTGAGGTGCCCAATCATTCATGTGGGTCCCTGGGGCCACCTTCTGGCGGGCCGATTTCTTATTGGATGTGCCGACGTACCGTAACCAGAATACGGCCCCAGAGCGGCGGAGAAAGTGAAGAACTGGAATGGGCGGATGATGGGGAAGAAACAGACACCTCCTCGAGATTCCCCACTTGCAGGTGCCCCACAGAAGTTCATTATGCCCCGCGGACCACGGAGGCCCACAGAGAAGCCCTGAGGCACCTGACTCAGGACCGTCAAAGATCGACGAGGAATGTGCTCAATGATTTCTACCAACAAGATTTCTGATCGTATGCGTCTACTGTAAAGAGTGCTCTCACGCACGAGGACACGGGTGGCACGCGATGCCCTGAGCAGGCGGCGAGCGAGGCACAGACGCGTGGGCAAGGGGGCACTCACGCACGACGCGACGCGCAAGCAGCTCGTGCGCCCGTTTCTGCGCAGCCGACCAGACATCCGATTATGTGTTTGTCCCAAACGGTCTCTGTACTTATGGGGTTCTCCCTTGTGCCTCTAAGGAATGTGATGTGCCCTGCGAGGCTTCGCTACGTTGCCGCCTGTTGGCGCCTCGTTGCCGCCTCGTGGGCCCGGTGGGTCCGGCGAGGTTTCGCCACATTTTGACCCGTTGCCTCCTCGTTGCCGCCTCGTCGACTGGGTGGGTCCAGCGAGGTTTCGCCAGGTTGCCGCCCATAGTCGTTTCGTTGCAGCTTGCACCACGTATACTGCACCACACAGGCTACACCAAATAGCTTGCACCACCTTGCACATCTACATTGCAAAAACTTGCTGTTTGTGGTCCGCGCTGGCTAACATGTTGTTTCAATCGGCAGCCATAAAGGTCGGAATACTTACCCAAGCGTGGGGTTTCGCCCTATGGGGCGCAGAAGGACATACCAGCACTATCACTATGCGCCCTCCTTAGAGGCGCACATCCGAACCGAACATTTAGTACACACATCTTATGCCAGCAAGCGCCCGCCACCGAGAGTATGCTATAAGATGCCTGAGCGCGCGTTGCCCCTGGGGGGGGGTCGCGCACACCACACACACAGTATCAATACATGTTTGGGTGACGCCGATCTTGATGGTCCCGCAGCACGAAGACGGTCCCCGGGGGACCGAAATCAGGACCAGCTCCAGGATTGAAACCCTCGATCCGCAGGACACCTGCATGCGTCGCTCGATCAGGACTGCCACCGAGCCCGAGGGCGGATCGCAACCAGGCAGCTGATCGGCGGGCGGGTCGCAGGCGGGTCGACGTCGATGCGCGGGCGGGTCGCCGCCTTCTCCTCCTCTCCCTCCCCCCATTTACGGTCCCCTCCCTTCTTGTTCTCCTCCGCATCCTCTCGCCTCGAACTCGCCTCATCCTCCTCACCCTCGTCTTACTTTTCGTTTCTCCTCCTCTTTTTCCTCCTCCTCCTCCTCCTCCTTCTCCAAACTCGCCATCGTTCCCCTTCCCACCCTCCTCCTCCTCCTCCTCCCCCTGCTCCTCCTCCTCTTCCTCCTCCTCCTCCTCCTCCTCCTCCTCCTCCTCCTCCTCCTGTCTCCACCCATTCACACTTCCGCCTCCTCCTACACCCCTTTCCGCCCCATCCTACTGCTCCCCATCCTCCTCCTGAGCAGGCCCAAGCGTACCCCCAGGACGACGTACCCCCGGTGATATGTCGCAGCGGCCACGGTTCCAGCCACGGTGGGCGCCAAAACGCAGCCGCGGGGCGTCCCGAGGTTGGCCCCGAGAAGCCCTCTCCAGAGTACGTGGGCACGTCTGTTCTGGGGTACGCTTGGCCTCCCCTGATGTCCTTCCTCCTGCAGAGTCGTCCGCCCCGCAAGTACGATCCTCGAATCTCCTCGACCCTCCCCATGCCGTCCCCCCCCCCCCGATCCCTGCACGGCTCCCTGGCCATCGCCGCAGTGGCCGCCGAGGTCGTCCCCGTCGCTTTCGCTGACGCCGCCGTTGTCGCGGTCATCGCCACGGTCGCCACGGTCGCCACGGACGCCGCCGTCGAGGCCGACGCCGTCGGCGCCGCCAGCCGCCAGTGCCGCCGGCGTCGCCCCCGCCCCCGCCCCCGCACGGCCCGCGCACCCCCACGAGGCGCGGGAGCTCCGCACACAGTCCGCGCAACTCGCGCCTCTGGGGGGCGGCTTCCGCGCCGGGGGGGGCACCCCAAGTCGCCCAGCGCCGGCACCGGTCGCGCCCGCTGCTGCGAAGCGGGGGTGTATCCATAACCACCGCCCATGGGATCAATATTCGGGGACCTCGGTTGGCAGAAAGTAGATACAAACATGTTTTGCCCCCCGCCCACACCCCCAGGGCCCCGATGTATTCATATCCGCCACCAGCCGCCTGCCAAGGTCCCCGAAGATGGATCCCCCAGGCGGTGGTTATGGATAGTCCCCGCCTCGGAGCTGTGTCGCGGCAAGAGACCCGAGGGTCGGATCTTTCGCAACAATATCCTTGGGCGACGTTTCGGGTTGTGGTTCCGAGGCGCGTGTTGAGACTAAGTATTCGTCTACAATATACAACAACACGAAAATAAACATTCTTAGAAGTTTTGCACGATTGCCGTCGAGCATCGAGCTTCCTGAGGTACCACAGGGCTGCTGTTGGCCCCCAGGTCCAGCAAGAGAAACATTACACTGCCGAAGAACCCATCCCATTCGCAACGCGAGGCGGCTATAGACTATAGACAGGACCGCTCAACGCGCGAGAACACATTCAGAGGTACCTGTGGGGCACGACTTTCGTGAGCGATGTGCCGAAGGGGAGCGGGTACGCCATGCGAACGCACCCACTGGGACCAAATGTGGAGCTCCCTGGAAGGCACGATCCTCGTGAGCTGTGTGCCGAAATGGGCGTGGGACGCCATGCGTACGCACCAACTGGGGCCCTAGGTGTTCCCTGAAAACACGACCCTCATGAGCGGTGTGCCGAAATGGGCGCAGGGACACCATGCGAGGCACCCACTGGAACCAAATGTGGAGCTCCCTGGAAGGCACGATCCTCGTGAGCTGTGTGCCGAAATGGGCGCGGGGACGCCTTGCGTACCCACCAACTGGGGCCCTAGGTGGAACTCCCTGGAAGGCACGATCTGCGTGAGCGGTGTGCCGACCTGGGCTGGGGGACGCTATGCGGACGCACCCACTAGGTCCACATGTGGAGCCTCCTCTGGGGGCAGGAAGCGTGTGAGGGGTGCGCCGAAATTACCCAGTGGACGCCATGTGGTCACCTCCGCTGGGACCATAGGTGGAGCCCCCGATGGGAGCGGGAAACGTGTGAGGGGTGCGCCGAAATGAACTAGAGGACGCCATGTGGTCACCTCCGCTGGGACCATAGGTGGAACCTCCTTTGGGGGCAGAAAACGTGCGAACGGTGCGCCGAAATGGGCTGGGGAACGCCATGTTATCACCCCGCTGGAGCTATAGGTGGAGCCTCCGATGGGGGCAGGAAACGTGTGAGAGGTGCACCGAAATGGGCGGGGGACGCCATGTTGTCACCCCGCTGGAGCTATAGGTGGAGCCTCCGAAGGGGGCAGGACACGTGTGAGAAGCGTGCCAACATTGGCGCGGCGGCGCTATCCTAACGCAACCACTGGGGCACCAGGTGGAGTTCCCTGAGGGCCACGATCCTCGTGAGAGGTGTGCCGAAAGGAATGCAGCAAACGCGGCAGGAGCGGCAGCGATGGGAGGAGGGGAGAAGAGGAAAGAGGAGGAGGATGAGGAGGAGGTGGAAGAGAAGGAGGAGGAGGAGGAGGAGGAGGAGGAGGAGGAGGAGCGGGAGTGAGGTGCGGTGAGGACGCGCGGCGCTGCGGATTCAAAACGAAGAGCCAACACACAGGAAGGCTTGGGAAAAAAACTGCTGTGGGGCTCCTGCTGGCAAGCTGATTTCTTAACTGAGGTGCCGACTGTCGGGGCTGATCGGGACGCCTACGGAAGCCCTCCATGAACGGCTCCGGAAACAGCCCCCAAGCCTGGCTCTCACCCATTCTCCAGCCTTGTTTCGGCTCGAACGTTGCTGACATCTTCGCTCGCAAAACGAAAAGCGGCCCAGCCTGTGCAACACAAACGCACCATACATAAAGTCGGACACTAGGCATCAAACAAGCAAGCTTGGATCTCAAGACTTAAGCTTGGAGGTTTGCATGTCGTCTTTCGTTGCAGTGCAATGTGTTGTTGCGCTGTATGTGGCCGCGTCCATACTGTAGCGCTGCTAACTTGCGGCAGCCACACACCCGTGTTGGGGGCGGGCATGCTGCGTGGCCCCTCTCGGGAGCCCAACGGGGCTGCTATGACCCCGTGGTGGCCCCGCGACCCATCGGGGCTGTGTGACCCTGTGTTGGCCGTGACAATACAACACCCTTGTGACGCGAACAAGATGAACGACGGCGTCTGGCGAATTCCAGAAACCCCTGAACCAACAAATCTTGCCATCTCTTCGGATGCAGATGTTTACTTCCACTGGTTTCCGCTGGCGGAGCCAGCCTCGTTTTGCTTCAGCCAGCGTCCGCGGACCTTCCGCCGCCTTCCGCCGTGGAGGAGAAATCAACTCCTTTGACTCTTGAAGGCGAGGCCCTCCCTTGAATGCCTCATGCGTTTCGTTGCGCTTACAATTTGGCTGCCCGAGCATGAGCTTACGATGCCGAATGGGGTCCAGGAGTGACTCGGGGTGGTCTTCGGGGAGGGTGCGGCGTGCACAGGGCGTCGACGCACACGACCAGGCGCACTTGCTCCGGTGCAGCCCTAATCCTGTGCCCTGCACATACGAACCCCTCACGATCTGAGCGTGCTCCGCCGCCCGCGGCTTCCTTCTCCCCCCGCGCTCCTCCGTTCTCCCCTCGTTCCAGATTCGCCTCCGATGTGCCCCTCGGCTGTCCCAGCCGCGTCCTGGACCCGGGCCGGTGTTGAAAAAAAAGTGCTGGTGCAGTTCAGTTGTTGCTTCGTCTTGGCTCCACCCTGATGTTCGAACTTCGCTCGTGAGGAAGGAGGTTTGGCGACGTCCAGGGTTGGCGTGGAGGTCACAGCGCAGACTACGATGGCCCGAAACAATTAGATTTCCTTGCGTTGCAAACTTTTTGCGTTTGAGCTTTGGTTATGAAGCAGCTGCTCTCTTTCGCTGCAGCTTGGCTTCCCAAAGTTGAGCTCAGGCTCGTGCTGGCTTGGCTGATTTTACCTGCTCTCGCTAACCTGGCTTGTCTGCTTCATCGCACGACTCAATCTACCCTGCCTCTCGTGGACTTCAGGTCGAAGTGATGCGCCGCTTCGGGCTGGCTCAAACTGGTCTAACTGAATTGGCAACTCTGGCTGGTGGAACTGGTGCTACAGGTCTGGCTACTGAGGCTGGCTGGTCTGCCTGTGAACTGGCCAGTCTGGCCGGCGCCACAGATCCTTTCCGCTGCGGCACTAATTCTGTCTGCTCTGACTGATGAGGAGAAAAGGGGGAGGAGGGGGAGGAGGAGCAGGAGGAGGAGGAGCAGGAGGAAGAGGAGGGAGAGGAGATGGAGGGCGAGAAGCAGTGGGAGGAGGAGGAGGAGGAGGAGGAGGAGGAGGAGGAGGAGGAGGAGGAGGAGGAGGAGGAGGAGTGGAGTGGAGTGGAGTGGAGTGGAGTGGAGTGGAGTGGAGTGGAGTGGAGTGGAGTGGAGTGGAGTGGAGTGGAGTGGACTGGAACGCTTACGACCCTGGTGAGTTCCACTGTAGTGTGAGGCTTAGCAAACGGGCACATGATATGTATAAGGATCTGCGGATAGCACGGGGCTGTAGCCTGCAGCCTCGCTGGGGGGAAGCCACTGGCCCAAGACAGGACCGTCCAATGGGGAACAGCCCGTGACGGCCTACATGGGCACCATCCTCCCAGCGGCAAGCTCGCATCAGAAGAGAGTCGAAAGTCTCCCCCAATTCAATCCTAGGCCACGGCCCAGCAACGACACGACGAGGGAACGAAGGGGAACGACGGGCGAGAAGGAACAGGACACCGCCAACACACGCAAACACACACGCAAACACACACGCGAGGCCAGGAGAAGGGGGGGGGGGCAAGCAGCAGCAGGAGCCGCGGGAGAGAGGAAGGAGAGGAGAGAGGGCAGCAGGCAGCGGAGGGGGCCGTGGCGTTATGTGCGAAACTCATTCTGCTCGGGTTCTGAAATCAGTGACGGTGGTGGTGGAGGAAGGGAAGGAGCAAGCGGCGCACTCGAAGCACGCGCATCAGCAGAGAACGGGGAGGAGCTGAGGTCAGTGGAAACCGTCCTGACCTGAGCGGCTCTCTGAAGAGCCTGAACCACCGTCAAACGAAACCCCAGGGACTCCTGATAGTAAGCCTTACATTTCACATTCCCCGAGGTGTATTCTACGGGGTGGCTAATTTCTCTTGCAGCTGAGCAAGCTGGGAGTGTCCAAGGTGGCCCTCTTGGGCCAGCTCGAGCATACGAATTGACGGAGCGATGGCGGGTTGCATTATCCTCATACGAGCACGGGTCTCAGAAGTAGGAGGTGCCGAAGTCGGGGCAGAGGGTGTCGCTGAAGCCGACGCACTATCCACTCTCTGAATCATTGCAGGGGGGGGGCCCTCCGAAGGCGCAGGACCAGAGGTCTAGACAGTAAGGCGTTGCACACCGACGGAAGGGGGCCGACATACCATCATCTAAGCTGCCAAGTGCATCTGAATCTCCTCTGAGGCCATCCCGAGCTTCGCCAGCAGACGCTCTGCATCCGTCTCCAAGGCCCCTTTGGGAGCCGCTCCAGCCTTGATCTTGCCGTTCTCTTGACGAGTGCACACTTGCAACGCCGCGTGGGCCGTCGTCAGCGGCATGCCGTCGATCGTAACAACTTGGCTCTGAATTCGCGGGCTCATCATGAACTGCCGTTTGTAAGTGTCCGCCTCCTGCTTGCCAACTTTCTTGTCGAACCAGCGGCAATAGCGTACGTGCTCGGCTAGCAGACAAAGAGTCTGTGTCCAGTAGTGCTTGAGAACCGCCAGCGCCTGACTCACCACTGGCTCCTTATTGTCCGCTGGAGTAATCAGGAAATGAGCTACCGTCGCCATGGATATGTGGGGCCACGGAGGCCCGTTGTCGTGCTGTTTCCCCCGCTCTTTGCAGTCCGTCACGTAGTCCTGGCCAGCCGTCTGCTTCATTTTGACGGGGCGGCGCTGGCTGGCGGGAGGAAACACATGAACGTAGCGCCCGTGATTTCCGCGAGGTCGCGGGCATTGGTGAGAGAAAGCTTGCGCAAGACTGTCAGCAGCGCCGCCATGATGCCTCCTTCCTTGCCCTTGAGCTCCTGACGAGCCTGGCCTACCACCTGTTGTTCCAGCCCCAGCCGCTGTCGTCGATCGTCGCCGCCTGTGTCCTGACTGGCCATGCGCTTCGCGCTGAGCTGCCAGGCTGGGATGCTTGCCATGATTGCGACCGTCAAACAGTAGCGGCAACTGAATAAAGTGCGAGCGTATATGTTGTGAAAGTTCAGAAGGGTCAGACACCTGAGCCTCGCACAACGGGCAATCCGAGGATAAAGGTGTAGGTGTTCGGAATGTCGTACTGAGATTCGCCATACATATTCCACTCTGGAATGAGTCCACCACATGTTTGTATACTGAGCTTCTTGATTCAAACACACTGTTGCACACGAATCACTGGTTGTTAACCACAGAGGTCCCGAGAATAGATTTGGGGCCGTGATGGTTATGTAAGTGGACCAGGACCTGGCCTTTACTCTGGAACCTTCTGGAACACCCGTGAGCAGGACAGCCGTACTCCCCAACTTCTTGCCGCGCCTCGGGGTCCTCTGGAGTCGCAGGTGGTGGGGTCCAATTGGGAGGAGGGATGCGAACCGATAAATATGCCGCTCTGAACTTTTTTGTGCCGAAGAGCGTGAACCAATCGATCAGCTCGGAGTCAGGAAAAGGCGGAGAGGCTGCCCATCAAACTGCTGCACCATACTGTAATCATCGTCCCCGAGCTCTGCCAACGATGATATATCGTCCACAAATCTGCGAACCCAGGGACATGCAGCCTGGGTAAGTCGGGCGTCGTCGCCCACAATCGGCAACTCGTTTGCGAGCTCGACCCGCATACTGCCTAGTAGTGCTCCCCATTCTGCAATGTGTCGTTTAGGATTCCCTACCCACCTCTGATACCACCTTATCCTCCTCGCTCTAAGCTCATGTCCTACTGGAGCCATTTGCCAAAAACGATAAATTTGCATGTTGGAAAACGAGACCTTGTGACCATCCTTTTCGTATGTTGCTCCTCCCCTCATCGCCCTCCGTGCATAGTGTAATACTCGTGCTTGTAGTTTATCCAGATGCGCTTGTGTCAAGATAAAAGCTTCTACTGCAGAAACTGCTGGCCCTACATCCCGAAAAATTTAACAGCTCGCTTCTCAACTGGTGGAATACCGTACTGATACCAATACCGGCCCAGGAGGAGGAGGACCGGGAGCGGAAAACAATGGCTGACGTGGGGAGACGGATCAAGGGGATGTCGGGGCGGACGAAAGAAGGGGGGACAACAAAGGCGGAGTTCGCCGGCCCAACGGGCCAGAGGCGTGCTAAGATCTCCGGTAACTGGTAAACAATAGTTCTAGTTCGCGCGCGCGGGGCGGCCCCTGGGGGTCCCTGGATCAAAAGTACCCCGGGCGGAGCCCGGGCGGAGCCCGGGACACTCCCCCAGATCCTCCAGGATCGCCCCAAGAGGGCCCCAAGAGGCCCCCAACACGGTCCAAGAGAGGTCCGAGACGCCCGAAGATCGCTCCACGGCGCCCAAGATGGCCTCCAGACGGCCCAAGACGTCTCCAAGATGACCCAACAAGCCTCCAAGATGCCCCAAGAGACCTCCAGGAGCACGCCCAAGAGGGCCCCAAGAGGCAAAAATCAATGCTTTTTCTTAGGTTTTGGACAGATTTGGGCGTTTCAACCTTTTCGGTTCCCCGACGCCCCTAAACGGCTCAAGAGGCCTCCAAGATCGCCCCAAGAGGGCCCAAGAGGCCCTCAAAAGGGCCCCCAGACGGCCCAAGACGGCTTCAAGACGGCCCCAGAGGCCTCCAAGACGGCCCAAGAGGGCCCCAAGAACGCCCCCAACACGGTCCAAGAGAGGTCCGAGACGCCCGAAGGTCGCTCCACGACGCCCAAGATGGCCTCCGGACGGTCCAAGACGTCTCCAAGATGGCCCAAGAAGCCTCCAAGATGCCCCAAGAGGCCTCCAAGAGAACTCCCAAGAGGGCCCCAAGAGGCAAAAACCTGTGCTTTTCCTTTGGTGTTGGACAGATTTGGGCGTTTCAACCTTTTCGGTTCCCCGACGCCCCTAAACGGCTCAAGAGGCCTCCAAGATCGCCCCAAGAGGGCCCAAGAGGCCCCCAAGAGGGCCCCAAGACGGCCCAAGACGGCTCCAAGACGGCCCCAGAGGCCTCCAGGACGGCCCAAGAGGGCCCCAAGAACGCCCCCAACACTACACAGCTCCCGACGCCGCAGCTCCACACTGCAAACGACCACTCGGACAGGCGACCACGGTGCGACATTATGGGCCGGCGGAATGAGCGAAGCGATTAAACAACCGACTCAGCTCGTGCAGCTGAGCTGATGCTTACGGCGCCTCCTGGCGCCGAAGGCGGCAACCCATCGAGGGAAGCGTCTGGCGGGTGAGGCCGAAACCAGCTGCACGCAGCAGGTATCGTCAAACGCTCCCCTCTCCCCCCAATCGCCCCCCTCTGAGAGACGACGTTGCGAAGAACACAGCATTGCAACAATCACTGCGGGGGGCATAGAGCCCATCTTCCTGCTGCATTCTGCGGGCCAGATCGATCTGTGATGGTCCCTGGGGCCGAACTCTGGCGAGAACGCCCAGTGTGAAGAAATTGCGACGCCAGAATCGCTGGTCCCCCTAGCCCCTCCCATCCCCTTCATCCCCTTCCGTCCAACCCGAGAGACCGTCCCGACCGCCGATATGGTTGCTTCAAGCCGCGGCCCCAGAAGTCCCGATCGCTTCCCAGGGGGCATGTTCTCCTCCCGGATCCGTTTTTGATGGTCCCAGGGCCCGAAAAAGTCGGTGGCGAGCGAAGGGGGGAAGTGAGAAGGAGACGGCCTTCTCAGAAGGCGGCGGGGCTTCTCAGAAGCCAAGTTTCCAGCGTCTTCGGGGAAGGCTTGGGAAACCTCTCTGAAAGCTGGGGAGACTACCGAGCCTTCTCAGAAGGCCTTCTCCTTCCCACTTCCCCCCGGGCTCGCCGCCGAAAAAAAGGCCTCCGAGAGCCGAAATCGATGAAAAAACGCAGGCTGAAAAACACATGTCGCCATAGATCTAGAGAGGGGAACGGCAGTACGCAGCAGTGCGGATGGCGGCGGGCGGCGGCGACGCCAGAGGCGCCCGAGACGGCCCAAGAGGCGCCCAAGACGGCCCAGGATACCCCCAAGAAGGGTCCCAGAGGGCTCCAAGACGGCCCGAGTGCCCCCCAAGAGAGCCAAGACCGCCCCAGGGATCCCTCCCACCCGCTGGGCCCGAGAGAGGGGAACGGCAGTGCGGCAGCTTCGTGTCCTGACGACCTCGTTCACTATTCTGTCACCGTGTGGATCGTTCAACCTTTCACGATCGGCGACTTGTCGATCGCCACATCGCTTCATACGGGCCGATTCTGTGCCACTGGTGGCCTTCGACCTTGAATGTCCGCGCTGGGGTAGCCGCCGCGTCAGCACGACGCAAACCTGCCGTGAGAAATTCTCAGTGCTGAGTGTCAGAGCTGCTCTTGAAACGGTCCCCGTGGCCCCGAATCCCACGACTTTGGGGCGCTCCTGAGCGCTCTCGGGGCTCCCTGCCTGCCTTTTCTGGGGAGCCTCGGGAGCGTGGTTCACGTCCTCTGTTGGAGGTGCACGTCCGACACGAACAATGCGGTGCACACATCTTGTAGATTATCGTTAGACACCCCAGCGGTATGGCCAGAAAGCGCCCGCCGCCGAGCATATACTACCAGACTTCCGAGCGCGCGCGTCACTCCTGGGGGTGCAGACGATGCCAGCCCGGCCAAGGGGCCGTCTGGGGGCTCTCTTGGGGGCCCCGTGGGCCGTCACGCCGCGTCGACACGACACGAACCTTCCGTACGGCAAGCTCGTATCGTGACGACCACGCCGTTGGTTTCTGACACCGCGTGGATCGTTCCACCGTGAACGATCAGCGGCTCCTCTATCGCCAGATTGCTCAACAATGGCCGCTTCTGGGCAACCAGCGGCGCTCAAGCTTGAACGCCCGCCGGCCGCGCTCTGCGCCCGCGACGCGCGCGCGCGCCGGTGGCCGAGCCCGAGGAGCTCGCAGACGTGCGCGCCCAGGCTTGAGGCTGCGCGTCGCCGTCGTCGTCGTCGTCGTTGTCGTGGTCATCATCGTCGTCGTGGTCATCATCGTCGTCGTCGTCGTCGTCGTCGTCGTCATCATCGTCGTCGTCGTCGTCGTCGTCGTCGTCGTCGTCATCATCGTCGTCGTCTCCAACACGGCGCGAACCTGTCGCTCGCAACAGTGCGGACGGCGGGCCCCGCGGCGGGCCTCCCGGCCCGAGCAGCGCCGCTGGCCCTGCCCGCCGGGCGGGCGCGCCTGGCCGCAAGCGTGGCGCGCGGCAGGAAGGCCTCCGCCACCTGATCTACCGCCTCCTCCTCCTCCTCCTCCCCCTCCTGCTCCTCCCCTCCTCCTATCCCTCTTCCTCCTCTTTTTCCTCCACCTCCCTCCTCCGGCTCCCCTCGTCATTTTCCCCCTGCTCCTCCTCCTTGTTCCTCCCTCCTGCTCCTCGTCCTCGTCCGGCCTGCTCCCTCCTGCTCCATTCCTTCTCCTTGTAATTAATTTCTCCTTCTCGCACCACCAAGCGTGTCCGTAGGCCTGGCCAGGCGTCTCGCCTGATACCTTCTCGCCAAGTATGATGATGAAACTTGAAACTTGTAAAAGCTGTAAGGATAGAGGCCAGGCCGTTTTCAAAATGAGGTCATCACCTTGGCGCCGCGCGCTTTCGTAT